TACGAATACAAACAATTGGACCTACATAATAAACTCACACATACACAAGCAACAGTCAACTACAATTTACACCGAGCCCTCGACGACTTTGCTTCCTTCGACTCCTTGTCGCGTTTGAAATAGTACTGCATCCACGCAAAACGAAGCTGCGACATTTCAGCGGCAGCATACGCTACACGGTTGGTGACGTCACGAAAGAACCACAAAGCGAACAAATGAAGCTCGTCCCCACATTAGACGAGGGCGGTAGACAGCAAATCATTCATGCATTCCGCTATTGTCATCATACCTTTGTCCCGGGAGCGAAGGATAGATGCAAACTCCCGTGACGCACTGGCCAAATTGTCCCCAGATTCGAATACCTCCCTCGCTCCGAACTTCTTCTTCTTCCCCGTCCCCTACACCTACTTTCCTCTACGCTTCTCACCACTTCGACCAACGAAAATGTCCATCAAAGAGTTCAATCTGCCCTCCGCCGGCCCGTCACATGAGTCCGTAGTCTCTGCATTGATCAGCAGCATGTCATTGAAATCTACTTGTGCATCGCAGTTCGAGCTCACATCGAGATCGTGTTGTGACAGTTTCATCGGTGTTAATGCGTACTTCGTGGAGTCTTGAGTGGCACCAAACAGTTTTCCATATGTGTGGAAAATTTCGTTGTTGTCGTTATAGCGGAACTTGCCGTACTTCGGATTCTCCTGCACAAAAGATATGAACACGTGGTTAGAACACAGTACGAATCCAAAAATGTTCCAGTTAAGCACACATCTCATATGTAGCAAACCAGTTATGGAAGCACACAGAACGACCCGCAACATTACTGCACACGAATGACAGAAACGTTATGGTTGAGTACAATCCTCACGGGCAATAAACCAGTCATGGAAGCACAAAAATCATGCAGGCGTTTTAGATACTCACAAATGCAGGATGCATCATGCGTATTGGTAGTTACCATTATAAGACATTTTTATCGTATTGTGTTTACTTAAGGTGATGGACCAAATCACTATTCTCATACAACAATGGATATGGCTACCACACAATGCATATGGACACGAGAATGTGACAGCAGGCAAAACATTACGAAATTCTAACTTAACATTTTCGAATCAAGGTTGTGCAACAACACATTACCGTTGAAACAGAGGCAACCATATGAATGTTGAAGCGGAGAAATGGATTTTGCAGAGTGCATTACCTTTATTTTCTGCTCCCACAACCAATCATTTGCTTTGATTCTGCCCCCTGAGTTCAGCTCGTAGTGAATCCCCGAAAATCGAAGCAACTCCATCAGGAGCTTGTGATTCGTTCGTATAACGCTCCAGTGGTTCTTCAGTTGAGTGACTGTCCAATCCTCCCCGGCACGTTTGTTGAACAATTCCCAGATGCGCTCCCATCCAACAGTCGTAAAGCATTTACCACGACGATGTCCTTCGGCAGTTATGTGCTCTGCCATGGAGATGAAAATGTGGTGTTCTTGGGGATCCCACTTTGCACACTTTCGGGTGTCGATCCTCCTGTCAGATCGTCGAAAAGGAGTTGCTGCAGGTATTGGCTCTATCCCCGTGGTGTTGTAGCTCTATGAATGACAAAGAAACATGGTTAAATGGCAGATACAGAAGTGAAAGGGCACGAATTGACGAAAACAGAGCCTTCAATGGCTGCAAGTTTCGAACACAAGATGTTCACAAAAGGGTGGAAGTTTGGAGTCGGGGGTAGAAATGTACCATGTTCGCTGGAAAGTAGCCCTAGTGCGAGCCTTCGTCGTCCATTCCATGAAAACGAGAGTAGAGGTGCCATCGAAAGTTCGGGCGTGGCAATAGGTGTTCGTGTCGTAGGACGACAGATCGGCAGATCTTCGACTTTCTCGTCAAAGGGGTTTAGGTCCAGGCGTGTTAAACGGTATCCTAACGTCGACAGAGTCGATGAATTTGAGTTGTCCGGTGACTGCACGGATTGAATTTGGGGACCGTCTTCAAATGGAAGGAGAAACTGTGCAAAATCTGAGAGCAAATCGTGACTTTGGCTACAAAATATCAAGGAAGGGGCATATTGGTAAATTGGTGTAGCCATGTGGAGAGAATTGTCCTTTTAGCCCTAACGTTCACTTTGAAAAATGGGCTATCTGCAAACTGATAAATGAGTTTACAGAGGTGGCTTCCACCTGAGTCAAAAAAGTGGGTTGAAAATTTGCAAATAATGTAATTTAACGTGAGATAATGAGGCTTAAACTTAATTGTAATACACTTTATACTTTATCATTTATTTTCTTAAAATAAAAACAGGGTCACATCTAATATGGAAATAAAATACTAATTTTGTCAAATAATTCGTTTAACAATGTGTCTAAACCTATGTCACGTCAGCTTGCATTGGGGAGGGGATTTCTTAAAACAATTTATCTTTACTTGTGTGACAATTTTTTGGGGAGTGTTCCTCCTACTAAGATTTTTGACAGATATTTTTGATAAAGAATTTCAACCATTGGTTTAACAAATCAATGGACTCAACGGAGGTGAAGGTGTAGGTGCTTTTGACAGCAATTGATCTCGGAGGGATAAGCTTCCTGCAAAATTTATTATGTTAAAGTGATTTTTTCCATATCAGTATATTTTTGTGTTGAAAATCAAGATTCTTTACTTATCCAGGTGTTTGATTGAATTCTGTTTAATTAATTGATTTACCTTTCTCGAATTCAAATTGATCTTATTCAACCCGAAGAGCCTCAATTAAATTCATCCACCAACCTTGAATAAGTTAATGGTAGGTCCCGTGAATTTAATTATTCACCAATTAATTGGTGTGTTATATCACCGGTACTTAATATAAGTTAAGCACCGGTGCTCATTAGATCATTTCACTTATGATAAGGTGGTTAGAGGATGAATTTGCAAATAATTTTATCCCCAAATTATTCTTCCAAATATTCAGGAAATTATCACATAATCATCCCAATTTTCACTTGTTCATTGTGAAGTTACATTTTTTGCTTTTGGTGTTCTTCACATCAAGGCTTGTTTAATCCTACGAACGGTTTGCCGAAAATTCTTAAAATCTTTTAGAAATGAGGCAAATAACGTTTGAGGACAGCGAGATTAATTTCATGTTCGAGCCTTCATTGATATATTTTTATATTCTCTTCTTCATTGCCATTATTTTTCAACAGTTGATTTTTCTTTTAGGTTCTAAATTATAACTCATGACAGATGATTTTTTTTTCTCTATTTAAATTTTCTGGTACTGATATGAATTTTTTTTGGGCGAATTTTCGCTTTTTGTGACACTTTTAAAGAGTCTGGTTTTCCTAAATCTTTTGTATTAGTTTCCAAATAGTTCTTTTTGGTTTTGGGTTTCTTAGCCATGTGTCTATATTCTACTATCAGCTGTTACATTTCATAGTTGTCTTTGTATTTTTGTCCTTCCATTTTCAACTATATATTTCTAGGGCCTGTACGTCTTGACAGAATTTTATTGTTTTCGGGAGTTGGTTCTTTTGTTTTCATTTATATACCAAGTTTGAAATTTTGATACACGATCATATTTTCTTTTGTGGTCAAACAGAAATGATTGTAATGGAAACCTAAGTTTCCGAATTTCAATTATTCCATATTTTTCAAGTAAGGTCAAAGGATTTAAAATAATGTAGAAACTCATAGGAACTTTTGTTCTTCAAGGTGAGATTGCATAGTATTTTTCCTCATATCTTATTTGTAAGATTGCTTGATGGTGGTTGTTTTGAACTCAAAACTTCCTGAAGAAAAGAGAAGTAAAGATGCACGTAGACTAGAATAAAATTTTACAATTTTCATCTTTTTAGATATAATAAAAATTCCAATGAGATTTGCTGCAATCAATATTCCTCTTGTGCTATTATGATGTTCTCTTCTTTCAAATGATTTCATTCCTTCCCATATTGGCAGTTCTCTGAAGACATTTAAAATACTGGATTCAGTAGGAGCTTATACTGTTCAGTGTGCCAACTGTTCAAAGTGGAGGTTCATCCCTACAAAGCAGAAATATGAGCACATAAGAGAAACTGTAGCTGTACTGCCTTTCTATTGTGGAACAGCTCTTTGAATGGCGACCTGAAATAACATGTGATGATGAATCAGATCTTATTAAAGATGGAAGCTAAGGTTGGGCAATAGACAAGCCCGGTATTCCTCAACCTCCTCATGGCTGGCAACGAATTTTACGAATAAGAGCTGAAGGAAGCACACGATTTTCTGATGTGTGTGTTTGCAATTCAGTTACAATTACTTTTAAGGCTTTAAACAGTGGAAATGTCATTCTGACTTTAACTAAGTGGACTCATTTTTCTTGATAGGAACTATGGTGCTCCATCGGGCGAGAGATTTCGATCAGTGGTAAAGTTCAGAGGTAAAATTCATTTATGATGACCATTAACAGTGTTGGGCTTTTTGATACATTCGGGTGATGATTTAAAACATTTGTCGGATAATTTATCGACACCATGGATTTGGCTCGACTAAAAAACGACCTGTGCTTTTGGATGGCCCAAGTTTAAGTTGGATGGTTTTGGATTGTGTGGTCCATTTATTTGTAATTAAGTGGTAGCCCATTTGTAGAAAAGACTATGGCCCAATCCATATGAGTGACCTAAGGTCTTGCTATATATGTTTTGTTCCTAGTCGTGTCTTTTTGTGTGTGTGTGTGTGTGTGTGTGTGCGCGCATGCAAGAGAGAAGAAAAAAGAGAGACAGATGGCTTTCTTTGGAGTTAGAGAGCTTGGAGCATTTTGGTGTCTTCCTTCATCTTTCTCCTTCCTTTGTGGATTGCATATACCACCACCATAGTCTCCTTTGTGGAGTGAAACTTGTGACAATCAAGTGTGAAAGTTTTGGGTCGAGCCGAGGTTAAGTGGTGTTCGTTTGGGTGTTTTCTAAGTCCAAGATCAAGATTTCTCGAGGTATTTCCATGACAAACGGTTGCTTACATTTTTTATAACACGTTGTAAGATGCATGAATAATTTTAGATTTCAGAATCTTTCATTTTTTTATTTATATTGAATGTTTTCTGATGATTTCCCTTTTCTAGTTTTCTGAATGAACATCTAGAATATCAGGGTGTAACAAAGTCACAGTTTTCATTTCAAAATCTAGTACCAATGGAGGAAAATTATGTGCGAAAGTCTACTCCTGCTTCACATGGGACGATTGGCGCTTTGGTACGAGGTCAGAAGTTTGATGCTTGCTTATTGAGATCTTTTAACTATTCATATTTTCTTTTATATTAGGTGTTTATGTTAAATATACTTCCTTATTTATTATCTATCGTGTTTTATTTGTTTACTGCATTTGTTTCAAACTCCAGCGCCCATGGAAGAAAATTATGTGCAAAAGCGTCATGCTACTTCTGCTACTTCACATAAGATGAGTGGCACTTTGGTACCAGGTTTGAGGTTTGATTCTTACTATCTAACTGATCATATTTTCTTTTATATGAGGGCTTATGTTAAACATATTTACTCAATTCTTCCCTGCCATATTTTGTTTCTCTGTTGCGTTTTATTTAAAATCCAGCACCAATGGAGGAAAATTATGAGCGAAAGCGTCGTGCTACTTTTACTGCTTCATGTGAGATGAGTGACGCTTTAGTACCAGGTTTGAAGTTTGATGTTTATTTACCAAGCCCATGTTTGCTATAAATTAAAATCCAAATTTTAATCTAAGTCAAAATCAACAATTAATTTTAACCATTTCTTTCATAGGATCCACAACTTTTCAACCATACATTTCATTAACTTTTATCAAAATCTATTGAAAAACTGATTTTAATTCCAACCAAACAGGGGCTAGGATTTATAATTGGTCATATTTTCTTTTATATTAGGTCCTTCCATTAAACATATTTCCTTATTTATTCTTGCTGCATTTTGTTTCATACATAGTCAGATGATAGTTAAGCTTGATTTAAATAATTTTTATGTTAGTTGCTACAATTTCCATATCTTGGGTTACTCCGGACCAGATGACGGACTTTCACTTTGGTGAGGAAGGAAACTTTGCTTCAGAGGTTGGGGCAAAGGCACTTGCAGAAAGTTTAGGTAATTTATTATTTGCCCAAACGCATGAACTGTTTCTGTTGTCCTGTGACACATCTGGCCTTCGTGTTTTTTTATTTTTATTTTTATAACTCAGATGTCCAAGCTTTGCCTGACTAATCCTGGGAAATGGCGACCTTTCCCGCTAGTTCACCACCTAGATAAATCCGGAGGCGGTCACAGCTTAAACACACTTGGGCCGAACATTCGTGCCTTGATGTTTTAGTGTCATGTACCTTCCTTCACCAGTTTGTACCATTTGCTCCTCATTTATGTGACATGAAACCTAAAATGGCATCTGAAATGTAAAAAGTGCTACTTATCTATATTGTCACTCCTACCATGCCATAGAATATGGATATGTTTCATGTTTAAGGTTATCTTGTCATCTATTTATCACCCATTTATTAGTTTTGTGAGCATATATTTATTGGAAAATATCCCCATTAAGATGGTTACTAGTTAGTTTACAATTTCGCTTCCTTTCTTTTCCTATGAAAGTGCACCAATTAGAATAATTAATTAGTTTACTCATTGACTTAGCAAAGTCCAAATATTTGCTAGTAGATGTCTTCTGGAAAAATTTTTTTTTTTTATATGCCATAAACAATATGAAAATGGAATTGATAGGCAAAAGACATAAAATTTGGCTATCAATATATATTATGGAGCTGCATGATGCTTGCTAAAGTTAAGATTATGAGAAATATCAAAGCCCAATGTGGAATATACACCAAATTTATTTGTAAGCATGCACTAATAAATTTTCCAGAAACAGCTTTATATTTTGTATAGACATATTTAGTAATGCTTCACAATCGATATACTTCATTTTACTTGTGGCGAGAGTTAGTACTACATTCGTGGCATGTTATGTAAAAAAATAAGCTAAAATCTTGTTTTCGTGTCCAATTCAGTACTTTGTAAAAAAGCACTTCAAATAGCAAGAAGGTCATTTCTAGCATTACTTGTTCTGTTATGCGAAGTATCTCATATTTGGAAATTTGTTCGATGGGATAATCTAATTAGTATGCAGGACAAACTTAATCACGCAATTTTTCTTAGTGCTTAGTTGATGCTCAGACATAAACTTGATAGATTAACTGCTGGGATTGAGGTTTAATATTCAGAGCTTTCAACTTGAACTGTGCATTGAGTGTCTCAAACGTATTGGTGAGGTGAGTTTAGACTATGGTGTGTGGCTGCATTTACATTTTTGAGTTTTCACCTAGTATGGAACATGATTCATCCGTTTTATTTTTTAGAGGGAAAACTAATTTAACTTCAGCGCTTATTCAATGTACTGTTATAACTATACTTACTACTGAGTTACTTTAATTTCTTGCACTATTCAAAACTAATGGAGGTTTCCTCATATATTGTTTTAGCTCCATGTGTCAATGATCCCGGTGCAGGCGGCAAATGTTGAGGGCATGCTTCCCAACAAGATGCAAAATTCTAGTTCATCGTATGGCTTCTAAATTATAAGATGCATCAGTTAGTTCTTTAGTTTTCTATGCAAAATACTTTTCATGGAAACAATCCAAGCACCTTTATCGTGCTGTATTAATATTGATTGTGTGAAAACAATGTAAAACTATCGCATAGGGCTCTATCCGAGTCTTTGCTTGTATTTTGTGCCTTCCTCTGCGTTTATTTAAGCGCGAAAAATATTATAAACACATCGCCATCTAATGTTTGAATTGAACAAAAAAATTGGATGGAATGAAATATAGGAAGCCAGACTTCTGCAGAATAATAAATAAAATTATACTAAAAACTAATGAGGCAAATAAATTAAGGGTAATGTTGCTTGTACACCTCAAAGGTGTACACATGGGTTACACCCTTCTCACGTGGAGGGGGGCCACACATAATTTATTATATATGGACCTCCTTTCATATGAGAAGAGTGTAAACCCATATGTACACTATTATATACGTGTAGCATGATGATGTCATTGTTTCAACTTGCAATGGCTACTAATCTTTCAAAATCATACCTCAATAAAGATGGGCTATTCAAGAATGCCATTTTATAAGTAGAAATCTATTGTAACTTCCTAAAGCCATGAAGTTGGCATATTAGCATTTAAATGTAACTCCTATTTGGTGGAGATTAAAATCAAATTTTTAGTAAATTTTGATAAAAGTTGATGAAATATGTGGTTAAAAAGTTGTGGAACCCATAATATATATGGTTAAAATTAATTGTTTACTTTAACTTAAATTAAAATTTGAATTTTAATAGGTACCAAACAGGGGCGTAGTTTTGAAAAAAATTCAGCACTTGAAATAATATTTGAAACTAATTTTCCAGAGTTGAAGTATTTTTGGCGTATTTAATAGGCTAGATTGGACAAGATCAATAATGAAGTTAAAATTTTTGTTTGTATTCGTGTAGACGGCGTGATAGGATCTCCAATCCACTCTTTTGATTACTAAATAGGTAATTGAAAGACTTTTGATCTATAAGTCATTGATATCTCGTACAAACTCTAAAATTTAAACTTAACTGTAATACACTTTATAGTTTATCATTTATTTTCTTAAAATAAAAACAGGGTCACATCTAATATGGAAATAAAATATTAATTTTGTCGAATAATTCGTTTAACAGTGTGTCTAAATATGTGTCACGTCAGCTTGCATTGGAGAGGGGATTTCTTAAAACGGTTTATCTTGACTTGTGTGACAATTTTTTGGGGAGTGTTCCTTCTACTAAGATTTTTGACAAATATTTTTGAGAAAGAATTTCAACCATTGGTTTAACAAATCAATGGACTCAATGGAGGTGAAGGTGTAGGTGCTTTTGATAGCAACTGATCTTGGATGGATAAGCTTCCTGCAAAATTTTACGATTACTGTATTATGTTAAAGTGATTTTTTCCATATCAGCATATTTTTGTGTTTCGCAAATCAAGATTCTTTACTTATCCAGGTGTTTGATCGAATTCTTTTTAGTTAATCGATTTACCTTTCTCGAATTCAAATTGATCTTATTCAACCCGAAGAGCCTCAATTAAATTCATCCACCCACCTTGAATAAGTTAATGGTACGTCCCGTGAATTTAATGATTCACCAATTAATTGATGTGTCATATCACCGGTACTTAATATAAGTTAAGCATCGATACTCATTAGATCATTTCACTTTTGTTAAGGTGGTTAGAGGATGAATTTGCAAATAATATGAAAGATGAGGACACTTGATGCTATTTACTCAATGCATATCCCGTATATAAACGTCACTAGAATGTTTTCGTCACTCACTTTAGGACAACTTTCAGTCTCTCACAGATTCATACCCTCGCATCAGTTTTGCTCCGGTACTGCCGTCGCCGCCTTCATTCCGACGCCGGAATCTTTCCGCCAATTGGAGGTATGGATATCACGTAAGCTGATCACCATTCGCTATTTAATGTTGTATAATTCATAATAATTGTACATGAATGTTTGCGTCTCCTGTATCGGGTTATCTAAAGTTTAGTTTTTTAACCAGGGTTTTGTTTGAATTGCATGTTCTTCTCTTAGCATTGAAAAGAAAATTTTGACGTTGATTTTTCTTTTGGGTTCTAAATTATAACCTGTCACGGATGATTTTTTTTTCTTTTTAAATTTTCCGGTTCTGATATAATTTTATTTATTTATTTATTTATTTTTGGTGAATTTTCGCTTTTTGTGACACTTTTAAAGAGTCTGGTTTTCCTGAATCTTTTGTATTAATTTCCTAATAGTTCTTTTTGTTTTTGTGTTTCTTAGCAATTGTTTTATATTCTACTATCAGCTGTTTTACATTTCATAGTTTTCTATGTATTTTTTTCTTCCTATTTTCTAGGGCCTGTTAATGTCTTGACAGAATTTTATTGTTTTCGGGAGTTGGTTCTTCTGTTTTCGTGCGTATATACCAAGTTTGAAATTTTAATACACAATCGTATTTGCTTTTGTTGGTAAAACAGAAATGATTGCAATGGAAACCTAGGTTTCCAAATTTCAATTATTCAATGTTTTTCAAGTAAGGTCAAGGAATTCAAGATAATGTAAAACTCATAGAAACTTTTATTATTCATTCAAGGTGAGATTGCATGGTATTTTTACTCATCTCTTATTTGTGAGATTGCCTTGATGGTGGTTGTTTTAAATTCGGAACTTACTGAAGAAAAAGACGAGTAAATATGCACACACACTGGAATAAAACTTTACGATTTTCATCTTTTTAGAAATAAAAATTCGAATGAAATTTGCTGCAATGATTATTCCTCTTGTGCTATTATGATGCTCTCTTCTTTCTAATGATTTCATTCCTTCCCATATTGGCAGGTCTCTGAAGACATTTAAAATGCTGGATTCAGTAAGAGCTTATACCGTTCAGTGTGCCAACTGTTCAAAGTGGAGGTTCATCCCTACAAAGCAGAAATATGAACAGATAAGAGAAACTATAGCTGTACTGCCTTTCCATTGTGAAATGGCTCGTGAATGGCGGCCTGAAATAACATGTGATGATGAATCAGATCTTATTAAAGATGGCAGCTGGCTTTGGGCGATAGACAAGCCCGGTATTCCTCAGCCTCCTCATGGCTGGCAACGAATTTTACGAATAAGAGCTGAAGGAGGAACAAGATTTTCTGATGTGTATGTTTACAATTCAGTTACAATTACTTTTAAGGCTTTAAACAATGGAAATGTCATTCTGACTTGAACTAAGTCGACTCATTTTTCTTGATAGGTACTATGATGCTCCATCGGGCGAGAGATTTCGATCAATGGTGAAAGTTCGGAGGTAAAATTCATCTCTTGATGATCATTAACAGTTGCTTAGGTTTTTTATAACACGTTGTAAGAAGCATGAATAATTTTAGATTTCAGAATCTTTCATTTGTTTTATTTATTTTGAATGTTTTCTGATGTTTCCCTTTCCAGCTTTCTAAATGAACATCCAGAATATCAGGGTGTCAACGTCACTAGAATGTTTTCGTCACTCACTTTAGGACAACTTTCAGTCTCTCACAGATTCATACCCTCGCATCAGTTTTGCTCCGGTACTGCCGTCGCCGCCTTCATTCCGACGCCGGAATCTTTCCGCCAATTGGAGGTATGGATATCACGTAAGCTGATCACCATTCGCTATTTAATGTTGTATAATTCATAATAATTGTACATGAATGTTTGCGGTCTACTCCTGCTGCTTCCCATGGGAGGAGTGGCGCTTTGGTACCAGGTCCGAAGTTTGATGCTTGCTTACTAAGATTTCTAACTATATATATATTAGGTGTTTATGTTAAATATATTTCCTATTTATTCTCTACTGTGTTCTGTTCGTCTGCTGCATTTTGTTTCAAACTCCAGCACCAATGGAAGAAAATTATGTGCGAAAGCGTCGTGCTACTTCTGCTGCTTCACATGAGATGAGTGGCGCTTTGGTACCAGGTTTGAAGTTTGATTCTTACTATCTAACTGTTCATATTTTCTTTTATATGAGTTTCCTTATGTTAAGCATATTTCCTTTCTCTGCCATATTTTGTTTCTCTGCCGCATTTTAGTTCAAAATCCAGCACCAATGGAGGAAAATTATGAGCGAAAGCGTCGTGCTACTTCTACTACTTCACCTGAGATTAGTGGCGCTTTAGTACCAGGTTTGAAGTTTGATTTTCGCTTACTAAGCCCTGGAATAAAACTTTACGATTTTCATCTTTTTAGAAATAAAAATTCGAATGAAATTTGCTGCAATGATTATTCCTCTTGTGCTATTATGATGCTCTCTTCTTTCTAATGATTTCATTCCTTCCCATATTGGCAGGTCTCTGAAGACATTTAAAATGCTGGATTCAGTAAGAGCTTATACCGTTCAGTGTGCCAACTGTTCAAAGTGGAGGTTCATCCCTACAAAGCAGAAATATGAACAGATAAGAGAAACTATAGCTGTACTGCCTTTCCATTGTGAAATGGCTCGTGAATGGCGGCCTGAAATAACATGTGATGATGAATCAGATCTTATTAAAGATGGCAGCTGGCATTGGGCGATAGACAAGCCCGGTATTCCTCAGCCTCCTCATGGCTGGCAACGAATTTTACGAATAAGAGCTGAAGGAGGCACAAGATTTTCTGATGTGTATGTTTACAATTCAGTTACAATTACTTTTAAGGCTTTAAATAGTGGAAATGTCATTCTGACTTGAACTAAGTCGACTCATTTTTCTTGATAGGTACTATGATGCTCCATCAGGCGAGAGATTTCGATCAATGGTGAAAGTTCGGAGGTAAAATTCATCTCTTGATGATCATTAACAGTTGCTTAGGTTTTTTATAACACGTTGTAAGAAGCATGAATAATTTTAGATTTCAGAATCTTTCATTTGTTTTATTTATTTTGAATGTTTTCTGATGTTTCCCTTTCCAGCTTTCTAAATGAACATCCAGAATATCAGGGTGTCAAAGAGTCACAGTTTTCATTTCAAAATCCAGCACCATTGGAGGAAAATTATGTGCGAAAGTCTACTCCTGCTGCTTCCCATGGGAGGAGTGGCGCTTTGGTACCAGGTCCGAAGTTTGATGCTTGCTTACTAAGATTTCTAACTATATATATATTAGGTGTTTATGTTAAATATATTTCCTATTTATTCTCTACTGTGTTCTGTTCGTCTGCTGCATTTTGTTTCAAACTCCAGCACCAATGGAAGAAAATTATGTGCGAAAGCGTCGTGCTACTTCTGCTGCTTCACATGAGATGAGTGGCGCTTTGGTACCAGGTTTGAAGTTTGATTCTTACTATCTAACTGTTCATATTTTCTTTTATATGAGTTTCCTTATGTTAAGCATATTTCCTTTCTCTGCCATATTTTGTTTCTCTGCCGCATTTTAGTTCAAAATCCAGCACCAATGGAGGAAAATTATGAGCGAAAGCGTCGTGCTACTTCTACTACTTCACCTGAGATTAGTGGCGCTTTAGTACCAGGTTTGAAGTTTGATTTTCGCTTACTAAGCCCATGTTTGGTATAAATTAAAATCCAAATTTTAATTTAAGTCAAAATCAACAATTAATTTTAATCACTCATTTCATAGGATCTACAACTTTTCAACCATACATTTCATTAACTTTTATCAAAATCTACTAAAAATCTGATTTTAATCCCTACGAGATGGGTAACTGGTCATACTTCCGTTTATATTAGGTCCTTCTGTTAAACATATTTCCTTATTTATTCTTTGCCGTTTTGTCTCATACATAGTCAGATGATAGTTAAGCTTGATTGAAATAATTTTTATGTTAGTTGCTGCAATTCCCATATCTTGGGTTATTCCGGACCAGATGACGGACTTTCACTTTGGTGAGGAAGGAAACTTTGCTTCAGAGGTTGAGGTGGAAGCACCTGCAGAAAGTTTAGGTATTTTTGTTATTTGCCAGTACGCACGAACTGTTTCTATTGACCTGTGACACATCTGGCCTTCATGTTTTTCTTCACGTTTAGAGTGTCATATACCTTCCTTCACCACTTTGTACCATTTGCTCCTTATTTATGTGACATCAAACCTGAAGTGGCATCTGAAATGTAAGGAGTGTCTGCTTATCTATATTGTCACTCCTGCCAAGCCATAGAATATGGATATGCTTCACGTTTAAGGTCATCTTGTCATCTATTTATTAGTTTTGTGAGCATACATTTATTGGAAAATGCCCCCCTTAAGATTGTTACTAGTTAGTTTACAATTTCGCTTCCTTTCTTTTCCTATGAAAGTGCACCAATTAGAATAATTAGTTCGTTTACTCGTTGACTTAGGAAAGTCCGAATATTTGCTTGTAGATGTCTTTTGGAAATGTTTTCTTTTATATGCCATAAGCATTATAAAAATGGAATTGATAGGCAGAAGACATAAAATTTGGCTAATAATGTATATTATGGAGCTGCTTGATGCTTGCTAAAGTTAAGATTATTAGAAATATCAAAGCTCACTGTAGAATATACGCCTAATTTATTCGTAAGCTTGCACCAATAAATTTTCCAGAATCAGCTTAATGTTTTGTATAGACATATTTAGAAATGCTTCAGAATCGATGTACTTCATTTGACTTGTGGCGACAGTTAATTTTACTCGAGTACTTATTTCACGTACAGTTATAACTATACTTTTTACCCAGTTGCTTTAATTTCTAGCATTATTCAGAACTCATGGAGTTTTCCTCATATATTGTTTTAGCTCCATGTGTCAATGATCCCGGTGCAGGCAGCTGATGTGGAGAGCATACTTGACAACAAGATGCAGATTTCTAGCCTGTAAATTATAAGATGCATCAGTTGGTTCTTTAGTTTTCTATGCAAGATACTTTTCATGGAAACAATCCAAGCACCTTCATCATACTGTATTAGTATTGATTGTGTGAAAACAGTGTAAAACTATCACAGTATTTATCGTTCAGAAGGCATAGGGGCCCTATTCAAGTCTCTGCTTGTATTTTGGGCTCTCCTCTGCATTTATTTAAGCGCGAAAAATATAATAAAAGCGTCTCCATCTAATGTTTGAACTGAACAAAAAAAATGGAAGGAATGAAATGTAGGAAGTCGGACTTCTGCAGAGAAAGAAATAAAATTATACTAAAAACTAATGCAACAAATAAAAATAAATGATGATGCCATTGTTTCAACTTGCACTGGATATTAATCCTAGAAAATCATACCTCAATAAAACAGGTTAATCCATTTTATAAGCAGAAATCTATTGTAACTTCATAAAGCCATGAGATTGGCATGTTAGCAATTAAATGTAGTCTGAAAAAGTTTCAGCACTTGAATTAATATTTGAAACTAATTTTCTAGAGTTGAATTATTTTTTGCATATTTAATAGGTCAGATTGGACAAGATTAAAAAAGAAGTTAAAATCTTTGGTTGAATTCGTGTGAAGACAGCGTGAAATTATAGCATCTCCAATCCTCTCTATGGACTGCTAAATAGGATATTGAAAGACTTTTGGTCTATGTGTCATTGATGTTTTATAGACCGGAACTCAAATTTAAAAATAGTCTCTAATACATTAATGGATCATCCTTTATCTTCTTAAATTAAAAACGAAACCACATCTAAATATGGAAATAAAAATATTAATTTTACCGAATTACTCGTTTAACAGAGTTTCTAAATCTACTACGATTTTTGACAATATATTTGACAAAGAATTATAACCATTAATTTAATGAATTTGTGGACTCAATGGAGGTGAAGGCGTAGATGCTTTTCGACAACGATTGATCTTAGAGAGATAAGCTTCCTTCAAATTTGACAATTACATGATTTTTCCATATCAACATGTTTTTTTGTTTAGTAATTCTAAAATACGAACACGGAGGGGTGAATAGTATTTTTAGATCTATGACAGTGAGAAAAGATGGTATCCCTATGGCAAAGTTGATGAAATTATTGGAAAAATGACATGGTAGCTTTGTAGTGATGGTGACGATGGCTGTGGGTAGGGCGTGGGGTAGAATAAGATGACGAATTTTTATTTTTTATTTTTATATTCTTTTCTTTCTGTTTTTGGTGGGTTAATTACCCCAATAGTCACTGAACTTTGCGAAATGTAATTTGGGAGGTCACCGAACTTCAAATGTTTCTTGGGAGGTCACTGAACTTTGCCAAATGTTACCTAAGAGGTCACCGAACTTCAAGTGTTTCCCGAGAGGTCACTGAACTTTGCAAAAAATAACCCCATACATCACTGAGTTGAGTGACCTCTTAGGAAATTTTTGCAAAGTTCAGTGACCTCTCAGGAAGTTTTTGCAAAGTTCAGTAACCTACCAGGAAGCTTTTGAAGTTTAGTGACCTCCCAAGTATCATTTGGCAAAATTCAGTGACCTCTCAAGAAGCTTTTGAAGTTCAGTGACCTCCTAAGTGGCATTTGACAAAGTTCAGTGACTTTTGGGGTAATTAACCTGTTTTTGGTTTGATGAATGCTTTATTTCTCTTTTTTCAATATTTTAAGAAAGATATGCTAGTCAAAGAAATTGATTAACAGAAAAATAGATATTCATTTGGATGAATGATGTTAAATTTCCAAAGTTAGAGGCACAGATATAAAATAAAAAAAGGTTCGGGGATGGATTTCTAAATAATGTGAAAGATGAGGACCTTGATACCCATATAAAAACGTCACTCCAACGGTCTCATCACTCACTCTCAAGAGAGCTACTTTCGCGAAGTCATACCCTCGCATCCGTCTCGATCTCCTGTACTACCATCCCCACCACTGCTTTTCGCCGCCGGAATCTTTCCGTCAATTCCAGGTATGTAATATCACGCCGATCACCCTTCTCTATTTAATATTCTTGTATAATTTTATATGAATGTGTGCAGCTGCTGTGTCGGGTATCCAAATTTAGTTTTTGAAAAAGTGTTTTGTTTGATTTGCATGTTCTTCTCTTAGCGTTGAAAATGAAATGAAAAGAAGATTTTGATGTTGATTTTCTTTTGAATTCTTAATTATAATTTATCACAGATGATTTTTTTTCTTTTTAAATTTTCTTGTTCTGATATATGAATTATTTGTTTGTGAATTTCGGTTTTTGTTAAACTTCAAGGAGTATGGTTTTCTGAATATTTTGTGTATCTCTTTTAGTTTCCAAATAATTCTCTGTTTTTTTTTTCTTTTAGCAATTGGTTTATATTCTACTATCGACTGTTTAATTTCCATGGTTTTCTTTGTGATTTTTCTCCTGTTTCAAACTATATATTTATAGAATCTATATGTCTTGAGAGCACATTAATGTTCTGGAGGTTTGTTGTTCTGTTTTTGCTGGTGTATAGTGAAGAATCATCACCGACTTAGAGAAATTTCCAGAATTTTGTGGGCTTATCCATCTCATACCAAATGCTTCTGGAATTATCCATAATTGCTGTAAATTGCAAGAATAATCTAGAATCATCAATGCCCATTTCCACCGCCATGCAAGAAGCTTCAACCACCGACTTCCTGCCTCATACTGCTGTAATGTATTGTATGTGTTTGCAAATAAAGAGTGAAGAGAGTGGTGAGTGGTGAGTAAGAGAGAGAAACAGGGAGACATTGTTACAACAGTGTGCATGTGTTTTGTTGGAGAGAAAGTGATAAATTGTGGTGAGCAAAAGAGTGAATAAGAAAAGTGAGTGGAGTGATATTATTAGATACTGAGGTGGTTGCTTAAGTATCATTAGTGGTGTGTTTGTAAATAATTTTTATATCAATAAAATCATTTTCTTTTTGGAGGTTTAAACTCTTAACATATACTAGGTTTGAAATTTTGATACACTATCACATTTGATTTTGTGGCAAAACGGAAAAGATTGAAATTGTATCCAGGGTGTTCAATTTTCAATTATTCCATGCTTTTCGAATAAGGTCAAGGAATTTAAGATAATGTAGAAAATAATAGAAATTTTAATTATTCATTCAAGGTGAGATTGCATAGTATTTTTGCTTGAGAACCTCCGTTACCTTAACGAAGGCTGCAAAATTGCATGTGATAGAACAATTTATAGTTTTGTTTCTTAGGCATGTTCATGTATATTTAATGTATTTTCTTTTTGTGAGTGAACTTAAATTTGTAATCTCTAATCACAGAGAAAAAAAATTTGAACTGTCATTCTTTCAAATTTTAGAACCAGCATTATTGGAGGTCTTTCTAGGTAAATTAGTTATGATCTGGATTTGGTTATTATGTTTCATGTACGTTATCATGCTTTCTGTTTCAATATTATGTACCTGTGTAGCATAGAGGCTCAAGGCCTAGTTCAAGTTGTAAGAGCGAAGCCTAGATTGGCCGATGGACTGGATTCGAGCCTCCCTTGGTGGTGGGGACGGGGGTGGGGGTCGGGTTGAATTTCATTGATCCCCTTTTAATAAAAGAAACGTTAAGAGTAGACACTTTTAGGCGCTTGTCCTTTTTGTACAATTATACATGACATGACATGGACATTCCATGGATTCATACCTGACAGATCAAAATACGCCCAACAAATAAGCAAAAGAGAAAAATAATAAATAAACATGTCTTAAGCCTCCAACACGGACACTGCACATATAAAACAAAGATCAGATGTCATTGACATTAACTTATTATGTGCAATGTTGATGAAAATTTGAACGATATTTAGATTTAACTTATTAGATTTTCCATCATATATGTTGAATTATGATCTTGATGATGGAATTTAGATTATTCAAAGTATAATATTGATAACTTTATTACTAATTTGCTTCTTCTCAAGAAAGAAAAGTCATTGCAATCATTAATTATCGCTACACTCCTATCAAATATTTATTTAGTTACTATATTAATTGACATGAGCCTTCTTGTTTCCTATATTTTTCAAGAATTGTTGTATTCCGTATTTTGTCATATTTGTGTTGACAAAACCGTGTTTCTGCAACATAGATACGAAATAGATTGTTTGATGATGGTTTTTTTAAATTCAGAAGTTACTGAAGAAAAGAAAAGTACAATGCACATACTTTAGAATAAGACTTTTCGATTTTCATCTTTTTTGAAAAAGAAATTCCAATGAGATTTGCTGCATTCAATATTCCTGTTGTGCTATTATGATATTCTATTCGTTCTAATGATATCATTCCTTGCAAAATTGAAAGTTCTCGGAAGACCTTTAAGATGCTTTCGGATTCAATAAGAGCTTATACTGTTCAATGTGCCAACTGCTCAAAATGGAGTTTCATCCCTACCAAGCAGAAATATGAGCAGATTCGAGACACTATAGCAGAACTGCCTTTCTGTTGTGAAATGGCTCGTGAATGACGGTCTGAAATAACGTGCGACGATGAATCAGATCTTGTAAAAGATGAAGTTGGCGTTGGCCAATAGACAAACCCAGTATTCCTCAACCTCCTCATGGCTGGCAACAGATTTTACGAATCAGAGCTGAAGGAGGATGAAGATTTTCCAATGCGTACATTTGCAATTCAGTTAGAATTACTTTTAAGGCATTTAAGCAATGAAAATGTCATTGTAACTTTAAGTGAGCAGACACATTTTTCTTGAAAGGTATTACATTGCTCCATTGGGTGAGAGATTTCAATCAATGTTGAAAGTTCAAAGCTAAAATTCATACCTTGATGGTCATAAACAGTTGCATATGTTTTTATAACTTGTTGTAAGACACATGAATAATTTCTGGAGGATCTGTATCTTAGATTTCAGAATCTTTTATTTGTTCTAGTTATTTTGAAAGTTATCTGATGTTTCTTTTTTTTAGTTTCCTGAATGAACACCGAGAATATCAGGGTGTAACTGAGTCACAGTTCTCATTTCTAAATCCAGCACCTATGGAGGAAAAATTATGCTCGAAAATGCCGTGCTACGTCTGCTGCTTCACATAAGAGGAGTGGTGCTTTGGTACAAGGTCTGAAGTTTGATGCTTGCTTACTAAGATTTCTAACAAAATATTTTCTTTTATATTAGGTCTTTATAGTTAAACATATTTCCTTATTTATTCTTTGCCACATTTTGTTTCTCTGATGCATTTTATTTCAAACTCCAGTACCAATGGAGGAAAATTACGAGCAAAGCGTCGTGCTACTTCTACTACTTCACCTGTGATGAGTGGCGCTTTAGTACCAGGTTTGAAATTTGATTTTTACTTGCTAAGATTTATAATTGGTCATATTTTACTTTATATTAGGTATTTATGTTAAACATGTTTTCTTATTTGTTCTCTGCCACATTTTGTTTCATACATAGTCAGATGAAAGTTAGGCTTGATTGAAATAATTTTTATGTCAGTTGCTGCCATTCAGCCACTCCAATATCTTGGGTTGTTCCGGACCAGATGACAGACTTGCACTTTGGGGAGGAAGGTAACTCTACTTCTGAGGTTGAGGTTGAGGCCGAGGCACCAGCTGAAAGTTTAGGTGTTTTTGTTATTTGCCGGAATGCATGAACTGTTTCTATTGTCCGGTGACACTTCTAGCCTTCTTGTTTTACTTCACTTCAGAGTGTCACCTGCCTTCCTTAACCAGTTTGTACTGTTTGCTCCTCTTTTCTGTGTGACATGAAACCTGAAGTTGCATCCGAAATGTAAGGTGTGTCTGTATATCTATTTATTCACTCCAGATATGCCATAGAAATGGATATTTTCACGTTTAAGGTTATCTTGTCATCTATTTATTACCCATATATTACTTTTGCAAGCATATATTTATTGGAGAATGTCTATCTTACAATGGTTACTAGTTAGTTTACATTTTTACTTCATTTCTTTTACTATGTAAGTGCCTCAGTCGGAATAATTAACGAGTCTTCATTTCCAGGAATTTTTTCTATTAAATGCCATACACTATAAAATCAAATTTACGGGCAAAAGACCAAATTTTGTTGATGTATGTTCCTTGGAGCTGCATGATGCTTGCTAAAGTTAAGAGTGTTTGAATTATCAAAGCCGCCTGTAGCATAGAGCCTAAATTATTTGTAAACTTGCACTGGTAAATTTTCCGGAAACAACTTTATATTTTATTTAGACATATTTAGAAATGCAACATAAAGATTCCTTGATGTGCTTCATTTCACTTGTGGCGACAGTATTGCATGTGGCATAATTGGTAAAAAATAAGCTAAAATCTTGTTTTCGTGTCCAATCCAGTACATTGTAAAGAAGCAATTGGGATAGCAGGAATGTCATCTTTAATGCTACTTGTTCTGTTCAAGTGAAGCATCTCTGATTCGGAAATTTATTCAGTATGATAATATTGATGAAATATTCACTTGTAAATTTAATCAAGCAATTTTTCTTAGTGCTTAGTTAATGCTCAGACGTAGACTAGAGAGATTAAATAGGATTGAGGTTTGATCTTCAGATCTTTCAACTTGAACTGTGCATTGAGTGTCTCAAACGTATTGGTGATGTGACTTTAGACTACAATGTGCAGCTGAATTTACATTTTGAGTTTTCATCAAAATGGAATAAGATTCAGCCTTTCTATTTCTTTACTGGGAAACTAATTTAATTTGAGCACTTTTTCCATGTACTGTTAGAGCTTTACTTTTTACCGAGTTGCTTTAATTTGTGGAATTATTCAGACCTAATGGAGGTGTCAATGGTCCTAGTGCTGGCAGCGGATGTTGAGAGAATACTTTACAACAAGATGTAGAATAGTATAGTCTGTAGATTATAAGATGCATAAGTTGGTTCTTTAATTCTCTATTCAGAATACTTTTCAAGGAAACAGTGTAAAACTACCGCTGTATTTACCCTTTCGGAGGGCTCTATTTGAGTCTCTGTGACTGCTGGTATTTTGTGCCTTGGTCTGTCTGCGTTTATTTATGCGCGAAAAAGGAAAAAGCAGCTCTATTTAATGTCTGAACAAAATATATAGAACTGTTTGAACAAAAGAATTGGATGGAATGAAAATATAGGAAGGCAGACTACTGCTGAGTAAGAAATAAATGAAATATGCTAAAAATAAAAGATGATGTCGATGCTTCAATTTGTACTTTCTATTAATCTTACAAAATCGTACCTCTATAAAATAAGCTAATCAAGAATTGCCATTTTTGAAGTAGAAATCCATTGAAACTTCCTAATGCCATAAACCTGAATGGAAAATATTAATTTTGTCGAGTCATTCCATTTAATAGAAATGAATACGTGTCACCCAGCTTGATGGAGTCCATGTCCACTTGCATTGGAGAGAGGTTCTTTAAACACGGTTTATCTTTACTCATGTGACACTTTTTTTGGGAGCGTTCTCCTTATCAAGATTTTTGACAAATATATTGAAAAAAGAATCTCAACGATTAACTCACCCGAATTTAACGAACAAAATTTATTTCACTAGAATACTCTAAAATTCCAAAAGACAAGATTCGTGTCCAAAAGACACTCTCGAAGGCAATTATTTGGATCTTAGAGTCGAATTTCTTGGTAGTATCCCAAACAGGAAAATCTCCAGAATATGAGAGGTTAAGAGGGTGGTATTGTTGTCTTGGATACTGCAATCTAGTGAAAATCCAGGATAGCCACAGATTGGGAGTTGCTGGCTTTGTAATTTGGAAGGAAATTGCACTTCTAAGGAATTGTTCTACAAAGGTGAGTTTGGCAATGATTTTTATTTTTGTATTTATAACCAAAACAATACAAAGATTGTTTTAATTCAAAGTCCATTCCATCATGCGCGGAAGACCTTCTCTTGTTACTAAAATAGGAAGAGGTATTACTCAAATTAAGTATATCCGGCGGAAAAATATGATGGTTCATCCCAGAGATAAGATGTCCAGCCATCCGCTACTCAGCTTTAGCTATTTTGAGTGTTCTGAACCTGTGGAATTGAATAACTGGACAATACATGACGGAATCTTGATTTCTTGCTGCCACATTAAATTTGTACAATGCATTCAGGTATCTTATATTATAGTTTTCAGATAACGAACATCAGTATCCGTGAACTTGCCTAGTTTTTATACATATGAAATACTGCCAACTGGAAATAGAACAGACTATTTTATTGAGGGACCACTTGTTTAAAAATATTTTTTAAATCTTGCACAATTTGGGAAGGGGGAGGGGGCGTATGCTTAACCTTTTTGGAGTTGAGAAGAGCTACAGTAGCTGCTGAGATATTCGAATAGAGACAACTTCACCATCTTTTCCAGTCTTCATAGCTTGGTATTTGATGTGAAGACCTGCTTCCAAAAGTAAAATAAATATATCGCTAATGAAAATGATAAGATGAAAGCTGAAAGTATGACCCAAACTATTTGCACAAAATTTAGCAAGCATAATGCTGCATGTTCAACATAATCTACCGGACATGATTATGGAAGGGGAAAAAAGGTTAAAATTCCTGTTTGTAGTTGGTTGAAGTACTTCCACTGCTGCATATAATCATGCCCAATTAACTCGTTTAGCTCACTCGTGATCATGGAGGGAACAAAGAGAAGTGTATACTTGAAGGAAGGAGTACCTTCATTTTCTTGTAAATTGGTTTTGACTGCTACAGCATGGAGAGTTATCATAGCTTTCGGTTGCCAGTCCTTTTGTTTCCCCACCCATGACTTAAGATCAAGAATATCTGGAAATTTATTTACAAATATTTTTACATCTATTCACACTGTCAGCTTAAGGTAATAACTTATTGTGATTCTTAATTAATCAAAATTGGTATAGCTTTATAGACATATAATACTAACATTAATGAAGTCTGAAATCTTATGAGTAGATTTCTTTAGAAAATATACATTAGTTGTTTGGATTTGACTACACAATGTGTTGTTATTGGTGGAGTATAGATATATCAATGGACAAGAAAATAGGTTTGGAAAGTCAAAAAGAATACCAGAGGTCGATTGATCCTTGAGATGTTTCATGTCGAAAATCCCACCAGACGCTCCATCGGCATGTTTGCTGGTATCGTGGGATCCTAATGTCTCATAGTCCCAGCTCCCATCCTGATAGCCCTCGTTCAGAAAGAGCTCAATATGCCTAGCATCTAAAGTCTGCATAGTTCCTGCATAGGACATGACCTAAATCCAAATTCATCCAAACTATCACAGCATTCATGGATGCCGCCGTTTCATCCTCGTACATAAAAAATTATGCTGTAAGAACTGACTATTTTTGGGTAGTGGGACTTGAGTAAGATGAAAAATCAGAGTTCCGTGGAAAATTTTATATTCAGATCCCATATTGACTTTGTTTTTGAATCATGTAATGTGTTTAGCCTATTAAAGCCCAGCTAGTTGGGTAGTGGGACTTGAGTAAGATGAAAAATCAGAGTTCCGTGGAAAATTTTATATTCAGATCCCATATTGACTTTGTTTTTGAATCATGTAATGTGTTTAGCCTATTAAAGCCCAGCTAGTTGGGTAGTGGGACTTGAGTAAGATGAAAAATCAGAGTTCCGTGGAAAATTTTATATTCAGATCCCATATTGACTTTGTTTTTGAATCAAGTAATGTGTTTAGCCTATTAAAACCCAGCTGGCTTCTTTGCTTCTCATAGTTTCTGTTCATCATGTATTTGTTGCATACTTTGTTTATTCACTACTTCGTATCAGATCCCATATTGACTTTGTTTTTGAATCTTGTAATTTGTTTAGCCTATTAAAGACCAGCTGGCTTCTTTGTTCAACTCGTAGTTTCTGTTCATCATGTATTTGTTGCATATTTTGTTATTCACAACTTCATATCGTCTATAAATCATGAACTCCACAGTTCAATTGCTCAAAGAAAGTAAGACGGATAAATATATAACTTTCTCGTTGAAATTTTTATGAACAGAACACACGTGTGCTTACCATCGCAGGTATTCAAGTCACAAACAGGACATCTTACGAGCTGTAAATCTGGAACGTCATCAAGAATTAGGGTGATTATAATTAATGATAATGTAAATGCAAAAGCAAGTATTATCCGTAAAACAAGATAAAATTACTAAATACCAGCAATCCAGATTCCAGCTTTGATATTATTTAATACGCAACAACCTTTCAACTCCAACATCTTCTCCATCGTGTCTTCCTTATCAACTTTCAATGGGCCGATCAGCCTCTCAGTCAGGAATGCAGAATGTGAATCAAATAAAAATGCTCCAATTCGCATCCAATCTAATCATTTAGTCAAAACAATCAGATCATTATTGATGGTGTTCACACAGAAAATTGTGGGGCTGAAACAGAGTATAAACAAGATATCTCCTAAAAGAGTGCAGTTGATGATCCTTCTAACATCCTTTCAGAATGCCAGCTTGAAACTTGAAGCAACTAGGAAATTTAGCAGTAGATCACAAATAATCAGAATGAAAAATATAAAACGAAATCTATGCTAATTGCTACATAAACTAGATTCATATTCCAATCTTGTCATATTTATGAATAATCCAATGCATATCTAAATATGATGCATGAGACCCGAGTTTTTTACTCTAGTGACCACCACAATTTCAAGATATGAAAACTTAAGAGCAGTCACCAATATGCTTCTCCTGCTGACGAAACATGTAAGAGTGACATCCATCTGCAGAAATTAATCCATGATTCTATTCAGAACATAAAAAAATAAATGTAATATTCCTAAATTAGGAATTGAATTATTGAGAAAGTGAAAAAAAGATAAATAACAAGAAATCTACCGAATGCTTTGGCATATAGTTCTTTCCATTTGAAAGCAACTTTTCCAGGGTCAGGGACTTGAAGATCACGTAAACAGGCATACTTCCATACACAGTCCTCCATCATGATAAGATTGAACCATTTGCAAGTTGTAGCAAGCATCACCAAAGATATCCCGTCCAAGAACTTGGCAATCTCAGTCCACACATCTTCTTCGTACCTTTTCAGTTATATAAACAGAAATACATTGAAAACAGCTGTAAAATTCATTAAAAATCGAACTATTTCATCAAGTAGAATTAAATAAGTCAAATTTCGATGTGGTCATAAAGCAAATATTATTTCGTGCAAGTTTGAATTCAGAATCATGGATACAATATACATTGCCACAGCATATTTTGAGATGATATCTACAGTTAATAATGCTTTGTAACTGAAAGATCAAGTGATTCGTACTTAAAAGACAAAATGTAGTATAATAGAATAATTCAACCTGTCGACAAAGTTGCAAAACAGCAACTAACAGAGTACTAAATTTATAAAGTGAAGCAGCTTAAGCATGCAAATATTAAAAATAAATAAATAAACATACATACCAAGAAACCATTGATTCTCAAATCGAAAAACCATTATTGATATTTAAAAATTCTATTCAATTAGGCCATCGGATGAAGCTGTCAATTGTCAACTCTATTACATTTGATCATGTTATCACTCACACAACAAAACCTGCAATTTCAGCTCACAAAATTAAAGTTAAATCATCCTGGATTCCAGTGCGAATGCTCAAAACCGTTTCACGATCACACATTATATATCTTCTCCGTTAACGCATACACATATGAATGGTAAATTTCATTCAATTTTAAACTCATTTTAACTCGGATAGAAGCAGAACACAGCTTCCCCGATCCAAAACGAAATACGGTTTTTTTCCAAATTAAGCCTCATTTTCGTCTATAAGTAATTCTACTGGATCACTCACATAAACACGAAATCCATTAACACATGAGTAAATCTACATAATAGACGTAAGCACAAAATCTAAAGAATGCTTATATGTATATACCAGCTGAAGAGGGAGGGAGGAGCGAGGAAGGAGAATCTCGGAGAACCACAACAGCATATCCTTTTGGTTGTTCGTGTTCGCATTTCAATTTTCATCGAGTGTTTTCTTTGAGAGATTTGAACTGTGAAGATTTGGAAGTAGCTTTGATCCCAAGTGTGGGATTATTTATACACGCGGGAAGTTTACGGATTCAAATATTGTGAAGTTTTAACGGTGTTTTCAGTTCTCCGTCCATTTAAATAGATAGATTATTATTTATTTATTTTTAAGAAAAGTAAATTCACATGCTTCAAGGATTTGAATTTGTTTTCACTCTAAAAATATAGGGTAAGGCTATTTATCTCCACAAATTTTTTGTATTTATCCCACGTTATGTCCATCCTATTAAAATATTAAGATTTTAAAAAATTATTAATGTAATCCACGTCACATTCCATGATTTCAATATTGTCCTTATTGAATTCATTCATTTAAATACTGTATATCCATACAAATTTTATATATTTATCCCATTCTAAATCTAAATACTTTCTTAATACAGTTTCAAAATTTTTAAAAATCACGATATGCATCCCCATTGTATATAACGTCAGCCTTTTTACAATTCAATAATTAATTTTATAGACAAAATATTATATATAAAATAAAATTAGATGTTTACATATATGCCTCACCATCCATCCTAATTAGAATTCCAAACCAAAACTGACACCTACATTGTAGTCGAAATTTCAATAATCTGACACAAGTCAAACTTAAATAGACCGTCTCAAATTAATATTTAGCAATGTCTTGCTATGATCCAACGCCCTAGTTTCTTCACAATTAGTCATGCAGTTGATAATCAATGAGCTGCTACCAAATGCATCAAATTTTACATCATCGCTCATTAGATTCATTGTTTCTTGACTTTAGTACAGTACTTATACAAACCTCTAAAGACGGGACATCAACTAACATATTCTCTCCAACAACGTAAGAGAGAAAACCAAAAATAAAAAAAATAAATTGATAAAACGTAATCCTTACTTTGCTATGTCTGTATATATTTCCGCTAATGATATCTTTTCTATTATTGTGTTTGATTTCAGTTGAAGATAATATTTTATGACGATTATGATTTTCATGATTTTAATTGAAGGTATTTTATGATTATTAGGATTTTAGTTAAATACAAATTCTAAAAGAATATAAAAAGATTCAAAAGAATTTAATGAAAAAAAATATGAATGGATTTAAAACGATATATTTTTAGTTAATTTTATATATGTCTGTTTAAGTAAACTTACATGAGATTAAAAATATAATATAATTATTTTTTCAAAAGTGAATATATATATATATATATAAATTGTGGATGTAAATAGCATTACCCAAAATATATATTTACAAACAAAAAATAAGTTTTAAAATTTTATCTAGATGCCCAATTAATCTTTTACATCTCTAGAGCCATTTTTAATGTAAATTTTTTTGAAATAAATTTTGTGCAATATAATTTTGATGTGTAGTTAAAAAAATAAGAAAAAATTACGAATTCACCTGTATAATCATTTTATTGAGAAAACATTCGAATTAAAAATAAGTTTCAAAAAATCTCTGCCATACAAGGACTTAGGAAACATTTGATATTACTTTTGAAAATATCAAAATAAACTTTTAAAATCCAAAAATTGCTTTTGAACTTGCTTAATTAAATTTTTTAAAATGCTCCTTCAAGTTAGAAGAGCTTTTAAAAATAGCTAATGCAATGTAACTTCCTCTAAAAACTCATCCAAAAGAAGAACCCCTATTAAAAATTAATTTCCAAACATCAATTAAAATGTTTCCCCAAAAATTATTTTAAAAAGCTGTTCTATAAAAAGCAAAAACCCTGCCAAAAAACCTTTAAATTTTGAACAGTTTACTATTAATTTATGGAAATATTGAACAGTTGAATATAATTATAAATTGTTTTGACAACAGCATCTGGTGTAATATTGCTACTACAGCGCCCCAAAACAGGACATCCCTATGCTAAAGAACGCTACAGCTTACAAAAAATATACCAGCTACAGGGCTGGTCAAATAACACTAATTTGCAAGTGAAAATTGCACTAAAGTAAAAGGAAAATCAACAAAATTCCCACCGTTAATTATCTGCACCTTGCAAAAAATTGTATACGTTAGTTCAAGAATTTCCTGCAGTTTGGAGCTTCACATAAGCACGGAACTTTAACCTCGTCGTGCTTATCAGATTCAAACAAATAATCATACCTGTTTAGACAACACAAGGACAGAATATTAAAAAATCATGCAATAGATGCCAAAATGAGCCCCTGTTTGGTGTAACTTGGAAAGTTGATAAAAATCATAGTCAAATACCACATATTTCACAGGAACCACAACTTTTATCGAATTTTTTACTAATACATTTCATCATCTCTTATCGAAATCTGCTAAAAATTTGAATTTTAGCTACAACAATCAAGGGCTCAATTGAAATTCAGCTTTGGGGTGGGGATGGAATGCCAAAATGAGCCCCTGTTTGGTGTAACTTGGAAAGTTGATAAAAATCATAGTCAAATACCACATATTTCACAGGAACCACAGCTTTTATCGAATTTTTTACTAATACATTTCATCATCTCTTATCGAAATCTGCTAAAAATTTGAATTTTAGCTACAACAATCAAGGGCTCAATTGAAATTCAGCTTTGGGGTGGGGATGGGACTAGAAGTCATACGTTAACTCCTCGCCAGCAGAAACGTCAATTTTAGCTACAAGAACTATCCGGCTCTCTTCATCACCTGTACTCATTATTCTCGCGTAACAGTTGGGCATACACTGTAACAATATGCACAAGGTTATATGTACACTGACATAGGTAGGTGAATACTGTACAAAAAAAGTATACAAATTTTTGCAGACTTGCTGATGTGGAAACTACTAATTATTTCTTCATTAATGAGCTAGGACCAACAAAATTTAACATGTGCATTATGTAAAAACGTGCTTACACAGCTGCATGTGCGATTAAAAATTACTGGAACAATAGAAGTCAATACAAGTAGACTAAATAGAATTGATCCAATACTATAGGGATGGTCTTTTGTTCAAAATATGGTTTGAGGCTTTTGCTACCAAATATCACAAGTTGACAACAGTTTTCATCCAAGTCCAATACAAATGTACTTATAAAAGACATTTTAAGAAATAAATGGATAGAGAACGTACCGAGTGATTGATCAAGCGGCCTATGTTCCCCTTATTTGTGGCATCAATTACTACTTCCTCACTTATCTTGAAAAGCTGTAAGAGGATAATGAGGATTGCATCAGATGAATGGAACCTCACATTCATATAAAATGACTTCGGATGAATATAAGGCGAAGACAGCAGGCATGAATAAGCAAGGAAAACAGATTTACTAATTTTAAATTTGCCTTCAACAAATATACCTTGGGTCAGATTCAATTTTTTTATGTGAAGACCTGAGGTTTCACAACTTATTGTAAATGGGTAGCAACAAGACTTGAATTTGGGACCTTTGTCTATTCTAATACCATATTGAACCTCCTCATCTAAAGATCAAGTTGTGAGAGAGGGAGGCAAACTTGTTTATATAAAATTTGTCTCCGACAAAAACTTATCAGGATCAGAGACAAACAAATTGATGAAATAAACATGAGAACCACAAAGCTATAGGAGGCCCTGAATTCAAATTATCAAAGGACCTTACAAGAAAATACTGAGAATGTATATGTACATGTAAGGCTCTTCATGATCAGAACAAATCCTAGCCTATGTATACAGGTGTACACTCAGAAAAGAGGGAAGAAATTAAGGACATAAAAAGAGGTTCAGGTAGGATTAACTCACATAGCAATCTTTGCCTTCCGACAGATAGCGTGCCTCCCTCAGATCAGCAACGCTGCGCCGCACCTGCTCACCTCGATACTCAAAAATCTGAGAAATAATCAATAGCAAAGGTTATAGTACTTAAATCCCCAGCACCCAATACTCCACTACCAAAAAGAAACTGTCATCAATCTATCTCCCACCCCAAAAAATAAAAAAAATAAAAATATAAAAATATAGTACCATTTCTCCTTCTTGAATATTTTGCCTTGCAAAGAGGCCCCATCCATGTATTCTTGATTTACCAAAGCAAACTCGATATTTTTCTGTCCTCTGAAGCATCATAGAAGAAATTGTTACTAGAGAGATCCGCACTCACATGTGCAATAAACAAGCATGCATGCGTTCATGCACACTCAAGCAACAAGAAATACACATCCACATAGTGAACCGAGAAACAAGCACAGCCAAAACAAACTTAAGTCATGAAGAAAAGTTATTTACCTGTAAATGGCTTAGTCGTTCTCTGAAGGTTGAAAAAACCTTTCCAACTTCAAATTGCTGAACAAAAACAAAGAGAGAGATGAGGAAATAAGCCATCTGAGAAGAAAAGATAGTTAAATAAATAATAAAGATTAATGAAAATAAATAGATATTGGAAATAAGGATTTGCTGTTGCGTGTCAAATTTAAATTAAATAAATAGACATGGGGATATTAAAGAAACAAAAAAGAAGGAGACTGATTACGTTGTGTGAAGTTAAACAATCTATAACGTCCAAAGCGTGATGGCTTGGGCCCATCGGTCGGTGGAATACTGACTCTTGTCCAGCCCTCTGCTCAAAGGAAAGAGGAATAGACAGAGAAGTAAAAACATAAGCACATTCAGGTGTGATCAAATGAACCGAAGAGAAGAAAAGAGTAACAAATTATCACCAACAAAGAGCCCTACAGAATACCATGCAAACCGAAAAAGAAAAATAGATGAAAATTTAATTTTACTGTTGACAGAACTCGGGAAGTGAAAATTAAGACAAATCAAGAACATCATACTGCACCTTTCTGATTGATTGTTTGAAAATGCGACACCTTGCAGCAGACATGGGATCGATTTCACAAGTATCAGCAGACAATGAATCAAAGCACTCAGCTGTCCTAGATGAGATGACCATTGAACCACTCAAGCACTGTTCTTGAATCTGGTTTTGAAGTAAGCTTCCGGTCGAGAAAACCCCATTGGGAGTCTGTATGACCAGTACATTCTCGGCACTAGGCGTCCTAAAACACCAATCAAATAATTGATACTAGGCGCTTAAAGATTCAAAAAATTTGGACTTCATAGAAACTTCGAAACATATAAATGCAAAGCAGAAAGACAGCTGAGGTGGTATAACGTCCAGAGTCTTTTTCATATTTTGAAAAAAATAAAAATAAAAATCAACACCAACACCAACACCAACAAGATAATCCAGTAGAGTTCCTTGAACTTTATCCTGTGTCCACTTATGGCCCTGATTAGAAATATGAAGTTTCTTATATCACGAAGAATCTATAGCGATGCCGGCAAGAATCCCAAAGAAAAATAAATAGAGAAAATAAGATAGGTGAAACTAAAACAGGTAGCACATTATCCATACCTATGAATGGCGCAGTACGAGACCCATTTCGTAATCTGTGTTCCATACTTCTCCGCACAATGTAACTGTATTTAGGAATGTAACTCACGTGAATAAACAAATAAATGGAAGAAATGGCATAAACATGGTATGCCTTGTTTATTTTCTGCTAGTAGACCGATAAAACATAAAAATCATCAAAAAAAATACAGATATCAATGCAGAAAATTCATTAGGGTGAGATTGGGATATTTAATATTGCATACACTTGACCCTCTTAAAAAAAGAAAAGCAACAAGACTCAAGTCTATAGAAAACTAGTCTTTTTTCTGGTTTGTTGACAGCAGAAAAACCTACTCTACAGTGGTAACTAAAGCTTGATTTATTACAAATCAAAGGGACCGAAAAAACTGTAATACTCTGCTATTTAGTCTTTCTTTTTTAATTCTTTAATCACTTCAATTACCTGTACATTGAGGTATTATAGATATAAATTTTTTTATTAGGTAATCAAATATTTTATTAATCAAAAAATAATACTCAGTTTCTATTATCAATTTAAACAAGAAATAACATGAAATTAGACGGACCTTCTATATGACCAATAACCGCCGCTTAAACCAAGTATTCAATGTCATATAAAACAATTCTCTAATCTGCCTTCTATTACAAATTTAATATTAATTGTAGAAACTATTATGAGTCAATACTTTCCTTAATTTGTAAGCAAAACTGAGAGATTATTTCCAACATTTGATTCTTTATTCAAATTGGTTCGTAATACTGAGATATTTTTCCAGCTTTCATTACCCAGGATGGGTGTAGAAAGATTTTGAATAGGCCAATATGACAAAAAAAATAGTCTCAATGAGAGACGAACAAAAATTTTTCCAACAATCCAGGGCCACAACGGATTTCTCAAGTGCAAACTTTAGGACATCTTAACTGATGTTCTCACAAAATTTTTCAGTCTGTGCATCCGGACATGCAGTCAATACTGTTCTTCTGTTACCTAAGAGAATTATTTTACAATAAGAAACCCCAGGATATTTTTTCCTTTCAAATGGACCAATTTCCAGCTTCTTTTCTCTGTCAGAGAATAAGAAAATATGTCAAAAATTATTGCTCACTCAGTCACATTTACAGGTGAAAAACATTTCAGTAAAGCAGAAGCAGTTCTGCTGTCAAATGACAAAGAAAATCATTATAATAAGAAACCCTCCACCAGACTTATTTACAAGTGTCAAGCTATAATTTCTTTTCTCCTTTTTCCTTTTTTTTTTGTGAGCTTGGGGTGCTAGCTGATAACCTGGTGTCTGTCAAAATGCTCTTAGTTCTCTTGGCAACTCACTTTCAATGAAAGAGTTATGAGTAACATGCAACTTTATACAAACATGTGTAATCAATTAGGCCACTATTCAAATATATCACTATCATTATATAACTGGTAATACAGAAATAAAAGAACAAGAGCAGATACATACTTCCATGCGGTATCCAGCACGAAATGCACACATTGCATGAAAATAGGTAGCACACTTGCAACACTGGGTGCAAGACCCATGAATCTGACTACAAATAATGCATGCCTGCAAATTTACAAAATATAAGGACTCTTGCAGATGCCAGAGAAATTAATTCGTCAGCAGAAAAAGCTTATTTAAAACAAAACCATTCGACTAGAAAAGTCAATTAAGCCAAAATTCCAAACATTCGTAATCATGCAATGCCAACCATGGACTTCTATTTTCTTGTCAATTGACAAACTTCAAATAGAGAAATGCAAGGAAAAGAATCTGCGAGTGGCCGATTCATTAGTATCCTCATTCTGATTCTGTGAACCACCTCATACCTTAGCAAAAGAACTTGCCGGAATTCGAAGGAGACCTGTTGCAGGCTCCATCATCTCTGCATTTGAAAAAGCAACTTCTGGCCGAAACCATGCACATGTAACATGAACCCATAAAGTTCCAACGTCTGTTGGCTTTAATGCACCACCTACAGAACCAGCATTTCATTACATGAGTAAAAAGGTGATGAAAACACATTTGGAACTACAGTAAACCGCGCAAACAACTTGCCTTTTACAGGACAAAGACAACACTCTTTCTCAACCTCCGGAATTTCGCATGCTCGACAGACCCATGAAGCAAAATCCTGTATATTTCTCGCCCCATAGCATTCTTGATGGACAGCTATTTGACATCTGAACCACATCGAAAGGATCTCTCAGCTTAACATAATGAAGTGCTAAAAAATCTGGGTCATACTATTAAGTAATAGAGTTTCAATTCAAATGGCTGTGCTATGAGTTATGAAAGTATAATATTCCAGATATTGACACCTGTTGCATATTATCATTTTGTTGTAGTCCCAATCTTCAACCCATCTACAAATAGCACAGCGTTCTGTAGTCCACTTTGTATAAACAGGTTCATAGTTTTCTGCCAAAGTAAATATGGTAAGAACACTGGTTCTTAATTGGTTATATGTGGGTACATGACAATACGAAGAAAAGAAAAATATGTAAAAGGAACACAGCAAAACAAGACACAATTACCTTGTAACAAATCAAACAGCTTTTTCTTATCTAAACGAAGAGGATCAAAGCCATGCGCATTGTACTCTACAATCTACAGCATCAATGGTAGTAAAGAACATGAAGAAAACAGAAATATAAATGAAATTAACAATACAGCTGCAGGAGATAAAAACATTAGCATGCGCTTACAGTTTTTCATTACACACAATTAGATTGACAATGACGGAAAATACTAAGTAGAAAAAAAATATATATAGCAACAAAAATTTATAAATTATCTTTGTTTTGATAAGTAATCAAGTAATTTTATTAATCAATGGACAATACGTGGGAGGTGTATTATCAAGTTAAACAAGAAAGAAATGACATAAAATTTGGCAACCCTTCTATGTAATTAGTGGCTGCAGTATTAAACCAAGTATACAAAGTCATATAAAACAATTCTCTAATCTGCTCTAATCTATCTTTGTCTTTCACACAGACATAGCACAATGAGAACAGATATAGTTTTATTCAAATAAATTTGGGTCGGCTACATGAATAATTTTCCACAGGATTCATGTCATAAGCCTAATTACAGCACACTCAATAAATAAAATATAAGAGGCAAAGGGAAAAAGGGCCCTTACAGCCACATAGGGAAACTGCAATGAAAGGAAAATGACTACAGCAGGTCATCATTAGCTACATTTAATATATGGTTTTATGATGTATAGAATTTATTGATGTTCTTATTCTTTAACATTCCATGGTTACCAAAAATAATTGGCCTTCCTATCTTTAATTTATCTCAACATACGACAAAATGAGAGTATGATTATAAACTTCACAAAAACCTAAAATTTATGGAATTTTCGATTCCAAGACTGAACGAAAAATGAAACTAATAGATTTATTTCAATGAAATTTGAGTCCATAAGAATGGGCTCCTTACACTGATATTTTTCATTTTTTCTAGTAACAAACTAGATTTTAGTCGTCAACAAAGTTCCCTTCACTGACAGCATAACATGAGAACAAAAATACCTTCTAATCAAGCAAAAGATAGTGAACCACAGAAAGTGACTGTGGTTTAAAACTTAAAGATCCTACACATACCCATTTTTCAAGTGTTAAATTTGAACCCTTCACTTTAACACTTGACTTCCATTTTTTTGCTCTAGAACCTGTATGTCGCTCCCATTCACTAAGCGATTGTTTCTTTGCCCCGCATGAACCACACCTACATTGAACCCTGAGAGAAGGAAGGTCAAATGGATATCAAATTATAAGTTTCTTTAAAATCCAAAAAATATCGGCATTGCATCAAATTTGGCAGTAATGTTATGGTACTTTACAACTTTATCGTCCAGACTGAAGATAGTGTGGGTTAATTCTTTTGTTGCTGAAGACATGTTTCTTCCTAATTTGTTTTTCTCTCGTAGTTGATGAGAACATAATGAGTCATCAATAGAAATCGATCAGGCACAAATCAGAAAACTGGCTTGGAATAACTTTTAACTAAAAAACAAAATGCATAATGAAACAGATTGTCTGAACCAATTATCACTGAGCATTTCTAATATTGATTAAGGCACATGTATCTTAGCAATTGAATGTTATCCTCATAATAGAACTATTAAAAACTAATCCCATAGCTGAAGGAAGCCACTATTTCAGGCAATAAAACATTATCTTCTAATTAAATAATTTGACACAAAACTAAACCATGTGTTCTCTTTTGCCAAAATTTAAATTAGATCCAGCATTGAATTTTTTTTCTTCGATTGGCACAAATGTTCCCTGGTTTGAAGATGAAACACCAAAATATATTGAATAATATACACTTAGTACTCAAATAATGAAAACATTTTACGGGTTAATAATATTTGATAATCGATTAACTTTCGTGGTCAAAAGAAGCGAAAAATTAACTAGTTAGTATCAACCAATCTCTTTTCATATTCCTGAACTAGTATTTCCACAATCCAACAATACAAAAGCCATGAACGTAAATGCAAGTTTATTACATTTATAAATCAAATAATATAATAATTTAATACAATTTTCGTTATGATAAGCAAAACACAGATCAACCAACTGAATAAGTTGACATATTTGTTCATATTCAATATGTAACTTAAAGCTTAAATTGTTTTGTCCATTTAAAGACTGGAGAACGGCTGATATGAAAGTTTTTTTCATGAGAAGAAAACATTATTTAGAAAAGCACAAAAGGTTCTGACAAATTTTATGAATTACAAGACTTCATAAAGGCATTCTACATAAATAAGATTATTATTATTATTAATAAAACAGAGAATAATATCACTCTCTCTCTTTAACAATGATAAATTAGTAAAGGGAGTCCTATCTAGATTGTTTAATGGAATCTCAAATATCTTTGCCAATAAGTGCATGATATATCTCTAATCCCTATGAATGACAATATCATCTACACAGAAGCTTAAATTCATTCTTTAAAACGTTGGTAGCATTGGTAATTTGATGAGACTCAACTTCAGGAAATGTCAAATCCATATAAAGTGCATAAGCAGATGGGCAACATTGCACATTGGCAATTAGATTGTGAAACTAAACAATGAATATTTTTTTCAAATTTCAGGTCTTACAGATGAAGGCTTGAATAATAAATGCCTTCCACGCCATTGCAGACAACAGTGATCTTGTCAGTCGGAAAGATGTGTCCGGAATTCTGGGCAGACCTGGTTAAAGCAACATGCAGTCTTACAAAATTAGAAAATCAGTATCCCTTGAAAGCAGCATAATAACAAAAAGAAATGGTGCACAAAAACATACCTAACATCAAATTGCCGTTTGTCCCGAATTAAGAAGTCAGGGCTAGATTTTGCTTTGCACTCAGGGCAGAAGTAATTCACCTTCTCCAGATCCTATAAAAGACATAATATGGTTATTGCATGGTATATATCATTAAGTTGATTATAAGCAAATGTTGTAACACCGTGACACTTAATATATAAGAACTGTAGTCAAACCTTTAAAAGCTCACTGGATATGTTGGCACACTCAGCATGTACCCAAACATCACAACCATCACAACATACCTACTCAAAGATTTTGAGAAAATGCATATGTTCATTTAATTTGTTGGTAAACAAGAAATGCAAAGTAGAAGTGAAGATAATCTCACCCAACTTCCACCATCAGAGTGGTGCCATATTTGCTTGCATACACCACAATATTGTTTTGATTTCCTTAACTGAAACAAAATTTCAATCTTCCATAATAAAATAACCATCAAAAATTCAAAAAATAAGAACTCTCTAAAAATATATAGATTGCAAAAGGAGAATGGTCTGACCTTAACACAGTGCTCACACAAGAAATAAGCTTTTGCATCTTTTTCCTTTATTTTCTTCATAGTTCTGCATGCAAAAATCAGTCCACAGCTTTCACAAGGCCGTGTTTCTTTTCTCTTATCGTTTGAATCCTGAGAAAGACAATTTATGGATAAAGTCGAGTTCCATTTCAAAAGAATCAAATTAATTATTAGAAGTACTCTCCAAAAATTCTCGAACCAAAACCTTTTCATTCAATGCAATTATTACGCTCAGGGCAATCATCAGAATGCCAAACAAGCACGTAGTGTTGACATATCAAATACCCACAATAATAGTCTTGTTTGTCCCACGGTGGTTATTTCCCTTGTTGCTGTTGATCAGACCCTTAGAGATATAAAAAGATCTCTTACCGAATCATATTTTCATGGCACCCACACCCAAAAGTAGGAATAGCAAATATTTAGGAATATAGTAAAAAATAGAATCTACAAGAAGTAAATAACTAAATGCGGATAAAAGAAGTGATAACATCTATCTAGCTTGTAATATACAAAGTTCTGGTTATCGGTAACTTAATTGTTTCAAATCGTAAGAGGCACTCATCAAGTGGAAAAGCTGGAAGCGACTGAAAATAAATAACCTTCTTGGTAACACTACTCATAATCCAATTTGCACATTTAAATAAAAATATCATGGCAATTAAGAATGTGTTAAATTGTAACTTGTACTACATCCATTATAAAATATATATAGAAAGTTATTCCTGTTTAATACTAAAAAATTTAGCTACATGAAAACCCACCTGCTCAATGGAATAATATTGTGAATCCTGATTTAAACCAGTTGCCTGTTTGATTTCACTGGGTTGTATCCCGAATAAAGTTTCCTGCACAGTCTCCACAGAGGGATTTGAGTAGCCACTTTCAGCTAAAATAGCCTCCTCTATAGCCATATGGAAATCACTAAGTTTGCTGCCATACAACTTAGTCTGCCCCTGAAATCTGAACAATAACATGTATAAAATCTCGATTCCAATAACATAGAATGGATTTGTCAAATTCCAAAATTATATGCACCTGTCCATGTACTCGTGAAAGGGAAAAACCATTCCAGCTTTTATCCACGCATAATCCTGTATGTAACAGTAAAAAGAAATCCTATAGCGTCACTATTGGCCAGAATATTTAAGCAAGCAAATTTATGCATTTATAAATGCCAATAACAGTTAAAAGTGATGTCACTGTCACATCCAGTCAGTAATTTATAACTGCTCAATGCATTCTTCAAACAGTAACATATACGTATATCACGCCGTGCAATAAAGAATATTTCATATTCGACAAGCATGAATGCGTGTGGAAAAGATGAGGAAGTTAATTACCCTCTGTCCACTCCTTGAATAACCGTAAAACATCACACAGAGAGCGCCCGGAACACAAGCCCTCAGAACAGATTCAGGTGCTTCCCTCAGCGGATCAATCACGATAGCCGGCCAAGCTGGGAAATTCTTACCGCATTTGGCCCAAACTATATCCCCCAATACAAAATCTTCAGGATGATAAAAATCAGCCTTCTTCACAGTCTCCTTCTCCTTGACCGTCTTCTCCCTCCTTGAGTACCCACCGCTTTCCACCACTGGCAAAACACTTGAACACCCTTCGTTAACTGACTCCACTGAACTCCGGGAATTCCAATACATTTTACTGCTAGAACAGTCTCTATTCCCATATTCAGTGTTCAAGTAGGGTAATAAACTTGTATTATGCATTTGGTTGCCAGGTTGATCTTCGACTTTCTGTTTCTTGACTAAATATATTTCATCGTTGTAAAACTTGTGACGCTTTGGTTTCTTCTTACTATGAATCCCACAGCCCACATTATCTGTTTCCGAAGTACTACTTCCATAATCAACATTCTCAGATTTTTCTTTCTTCCATGAATGCAGAACGGAGTCATTGAATTTCGATGGTAGTACCTGTGAACGCCCTCTAGACGACTTCAATAGAGGAGGCTTATTAACACCTATCTGAGTCTGAATTTTAGTCTGGGGTATTGAGTTCACTTCACCGGTGTAGAAAGAAGCTCTAGTGGGCAAATTGTTCGGGAAATTAATGCTGGACCCTTCAAATTGGTTAACAGGAACGGTGAAAAGCACATTGGTCGTTTTCGCCCTCTTGGAATTAATGGTGGAGCATGATTCCCCCTCATTCTCACCGGAGATGACTTCCTTTTTCTCGGCTTTACAACGCTTAAGGTTCGGCATTTCAAATTTCTTCATCTGATTCACGATCATTGTCCCCGTATCAGATGAATTCAACCATAGCCAACCAAAAAGCTAAAAAAAAACCCTAATCCCTCTTTCCAAAATAATTAATTTGGAAAATCAGGAAAACTTATTCAAATCACCTCCAGTAAATCCGACCAATTATTCTCAATACCACAGAATACTTATAATTCTTCACGGACTTCCCTGGTGAACCTAATTTGAAACAAGGAACAACAAAATCCGAGAATTCGAAACAGCCGGGTAGAATTCGAACGACAAAATAAAAGAATAATCTACAAAATCTCTTGGACCCTCGACAAGAATGGAAGATTTTGCCGTCAAGAACGAAAAAACCACCGAAAATTGAACAAACTGTCGAAAGATAAAAAGATGGAAGAGATTTCGTGAATCGCAGAGAATAAAGTGCTTTCTATACAGCTTGCGCCAAAAAAAAAAAATTAAATACATATATATGTATACTATGTATGTGTATATGTGTATCAGAGTTTGAATTCCTGGGTCTAAATTCAATGTGTAATTATTAAATAATCGCAAAATAGAAAAAATTTAAGGAGAATTGAAATTTTAGGGGTGGTTTGGCTCCAAGGTTGCAGCGAATTAGGAAATTTTGGGAGGGAGAAGAGGGCGAGGGTGCGGGTGACGCGCCAACCCAAAATTTTTGAGCCGAGGTAGCACAGAAATTTGTGTTACCTGTGGCGAGGTTTTAATGTCGTATATTGCGTGTCCTGTTTGGATTGGGTGTTCTAGGAACGTGGCTAGGATGAGTCTGTGTTGTGGACAAACTGAAACGCAAGTGTGATTTTGGATATTGCAAGCCAGGTCCTCGAGTTGTACCTAATATTCATAAGGAGATAAGGAGTTAATTGTTCCAATTGTCTCTGAACTTATATTTGTGTCTTTGATTGCTCGTTAAAATTTAAAATATTGAGTTTTGATCATTAAACTTATCCAAACATTAGACGTTACTCACTGATATTACATCTATTACAAATCTTTTAAACGAGATTAATGATGTGGCTAGCGAAATGCACATAAAACGTCCCGTCACGTCATTAACAAATTATTGCGTCTCTGATTACTTACTAAATTTTAAAAAAGTCATCAATTACTCACTAAATGTTGAGGTGATCAAATTTTAGCCACTAAAGATTTAAAGCATCTTTCATTACTCACTAAACTTTGGAAACGTCTTCGATTGCTCGCTAAATTTTGAAAAATTTCATTGATTGCTCGTGAACTTTGAATTGATCGAATTTTTGACCACTAAATTTATAAAAATGACTTTAGCTTGTTGTTTGCTAAAAAATTTATACCGCAAGTTTATTGATGTCTTAAAAGTAATAAAGTGGACGAACGAGTCCAAGTTGTCGATCTTACGAGAAAATGATTCCTCAATTACACTAGTTAATTTTAATTCTAACATATCGTTGTAGAATTTTAAGCTATTTTCATCATTTGAAAAATTTATATTAATTGTGTGCTTCACTGTTAAAATTAAATTAAAATGAAATTTTGATTTTGCAACAAAATACGTAATAAATTTAATTAAATGAATTTTGCCATGAAACACATAATAAGTTTAATTAAAATTGTGTGTTTCATTACAAAAATCCAAATTTTAATTAAACTTATTGTATGTTCCGTTGGAAAATTCAAATTTTAATTTTAACAATGGATCATACAATAAATTTAAATATTTAAAATGATGAAATTAGTTTAATTCTACAAAATATGTTAGAATGAAATTTAACTATTTTGCAATTAAGTAATAATTGCTTGTGGGATCAGTAGCCTAGATTCATTTGTCCACCTTATTACTTTTATACTACTCGTACATTTGCGGTACATATTTTTTAACGAACAAAAAGTTGACATTATTTTTATAAGTTTAGTGGTCAAAATTCGACCATCTCAAAATTCAATGAGCAATCGTAAATATTTTTTAAAGTTTAATGAGCAGTCAAAGATCTTTTTCAAAGTTTAGTGAGTAATCAACGACGTTTTTCAAAATTTTGCGAGCAATGGAAGATGTGGTAATTTGTTAACGGAGTGACGAGACACCATATTTGCATTTCGTTATCCACGTTACTAATTTTGTTAAAGGTTTGAAACGAATGTTATCTTCATGAGTAACATCCAACGTTTAGATAAATTTAGTGGACAAAATTCAACATTTTAAACTTTTGGAAAAAATCGAATACACATATATAAGTTTTGTGACCATTAAGACAACAAACTCAAAGATAAACTTTGATTATTAAACTTGTTTGATGTAGCTAAAAATTAAAATTTCAATAAATTTTAATAAAAAACAATGAGATGAGTAATAAAAAAATGGATAAAAATTATAGATCCCATTAAATATGTGATTAAAAGTAAAAAACTAACATGAGCTAAGTAATAGATATGTTTAAGGAAAAAATATTTAAAATAAAATAAGAAAGTTAGACCATTTGTGTTTCAATAAAAATTATGTCTAATTTTCAATCAAATTTTAATTTTTAATGTACATTCACGGCTAATGCCGCTTTTATTGACACATTACTACTCGTGTTATAGTCTCCTTGTACACTACTATAGCAAATATTAATAAAAAATTAATGAAGTTTATGGTTTAAAAGTTGATGAAATAATGAATTCTGTAACTTATACAATTGAAAATGAGTTTTACAAAAACGAGTTTAAGATAGCAACGTAAACTTAATATTTTGAAAATAATGTCGAGCTTTCATAAATATAAGAATTAATATATAAAAAAAATTTAAATATATTTTTTTTCCAAAAGTTATTAAGAGCATGTTTGAGCCCCACTTTGTATACAAAATTCATTTCGAAATAGCATTTTGATGGAAAATGTATAGTTAAAAAAGAATTTAAATTTTTGAGTTTGCGTATAATATTATTTATTGAAAAATATGCTATTGAAAATAAGAAAGAGTAAAACATATTTTAAAAATAATGGGAACCAAACAAGAGCTAAGTAACTTGTTAAGCCCCCGTTTGATCCCCATTAAATTCAATTACATTATATTACATTTTTCTCTCTCCTATTTTCAACCACATGATCTTCCATAAAATAATATTACACATAAATCGAAAAATTTTCCTTCTTTTTCAACCACTCATTTTTCTAGAAAATAATATTCCCCCTATTTTCCTTTTCAGGTAATGAGGGTCAAACGGGGGCTAAGTCCTTCTAATGTGTTGTAAGTCATTCTCACACAGTAGACAATGTTTGAATAATTCTAAATATCAGCTTTCCATTTGATTTTAAGTTTTACGGATTAAATATATGACTCATAATAATATGGGAAAACCACGTAACTACTACATTATAAAAACATATTTCACAATTGACAAACTCTTTTAAAACTTTTATAAACCAGGTGATAAATTGAAAATATTAAATATATAAATATATAATGTAATATACACTAAATTTAGATAAAAAATTTTAATCTCCTACAAATTAGTTAATATACCATATTTAAAGATAATTTTTATTTTCCAACCATAATCTAACGAGATTTTCTCTCTACAAGATGGGTTCCACATAAACTCTCTCTTTACACAACGGATTCACCAAAAACTCTCCAAACATCACGAAAATTTCACTGGCATTCCTCAATTTCAAGTTGCAATCGATCAATAACGTCACAATCTCGTCGACATACTGCTAATTTTCATTTAATTGGAGAAAGTCGAAGCTGGAGTATGGAAAAATTCAATTTGCCCAAAACAGAAATTGAAGTATTGTGATATGACTTCGAAGGTAAGCTTATAATTACTTAGTATAGCTTATGATTTTGAAGAAACATGTGTTTTCGAAGCTATTGAAACATTTATCCAAACATAATCAGAGATTTCACACCGTTAAGAATAAATCATATTTTGCCCAGTGTGTGACGTGTGTTTTTTCATTAACCATTGGTAGATGCAATTTTTGTTTTCAATTTACAGTCATGAACATGTTGATCTATGACCGTTTATGTGATCCAATCACATTGGTGCATGTTTCTGTTAACTGTGACTAATTGTGACCACTAAATTAAATAGATTGTGACATATATGTTAAATGTTTTGACAGTCCATAAGTAGAATTAGTTTATTATGTGATCAATGTCATTGCATTGAAAATTGATTCTCTGAGACACTAAATTTGTTGACCGTGTGTGAATATATTTACATTAAATAACTTCTGTGACCTATTTTGACGTATCTGTGACTTCTTCATCTGTGGCCTATATTCATCAATGTCATTGCATCTGATCGTTTCCTGATTTTAGTGAATGAAGTGTGATATGCTGTTATTTGTTTGTGATGAGGGATGACAATTTTGAACGTTTGACTGTTATATGGAGGTCACACATCACTTATACTAGTGAATGATACGTGCAAATATGATGAGTTGGTTAACCTTGTTATTTCAGAATTGGGGCTTAATCATGCAGAAGTAGGTGTGAGATTAACTTATTCTTTGGATTCTAGTTTACGTCCAGTTCGGATACAAAGTAATAATAATGTCTTAACGTATTTGAGGCTAAGATCTTTGGATGACATCGTATCAAACTATCATATTGCAGTTGATGTTATCACTACAGACTCATAGCAGGCAGCATGTGCATTGTAATGCCCAGAGTCGTCAATTACTGCCATTGAGTCATCAGCTAATGTGTTTTCTTTACAACAAATAGCTCAGGATATATGTGACTCAGTTACTACAATTGAGAACGGAAACATTGAACAGGGGGTATACTCTTTACAGCTTGTACACAAGATGCAAACAACAATATCTTCATACTAACTTTTGGGATTGGGGATAATGAAAACGATAAGTCGTGGAGATGGTTTCTTGAGATGTTGAAGAGGGCGTACGGATCTAGAGATGGATTATGTATAGTATCCGATAGACACAATAACATAAGAAACGCCATTGAATTTGTATATCCAGAGGCAATGCATGGGATCTGTTCATACCATTTGCAGAAAAATTTGAAATCTCATTATGCAAAATCAGGTCACAATGTCACACATGCATTCAATTCTGCTGTAAGAGCTTATACAGTGGATGAATTTGAATACCAAATGCAGCAATTGGACTCAATAAATGAATATATCGGGGGATATTTGGTATGTGATTTTCTGAAACATATGTTATATGACTTCATGTCACTTTTTCTGTGATGTTATGAAATTTCTATGAATATCTGTGATCACGCATGTTTAATGTACAAACTATATTTCATTTATTATTACATGAAATTGAAACATAATTATAAATGAAATATACAGTGCATATTTAGCATGTGGTCTCATTTACAATTGAAACATAATATAGTTTTATGAATGTGTCCATTTGTGACCTGTTCTGTGATAATATTGACTATCTGTGAACTTTTTAGAGTTAACAGTGACAATATGTGACTTGTTACTTGAATCTTTTATCTAATAACTAAAATTATTTTGTAGTTGGATGTTGGATATGAAAAATGGTCAAGATTGCACATGCCGACCAATAGATACTCTACCCTGACATCAAATATAGTAGAATCTGTTAACGCAGTCACAAATGCGGCAACAAATTACCCCATTGAAGCAATTCTAGAATCATTGAGGCAAACGGTCCAATCTTGGTTTTGCAAAAATAGAGATGACGCGCATGGCACTTTCACAAAGTTTGCAACAAAATATGAGAAGTTGTTAAGGGAAATGAGCAATGATGTGAGAAATCTAAAGGTGAAAACAAGAAAACTATGTTTATTATGTTCATCACAAGTATAACTTTAAATATTTTTTATTTTCAGGTTTCCTGCAAGTCACACTTTGTTTGAAGTGAGGGACAATTCTTCTTCATACATGATTGATATAACTCTACATACATGTAGTTGTAGAATGTTTCATGTGGATCAACTTTTCTGTCCACATGCACTAGCAGTAATAGCAACATTGAAGTTGAATGTATATGACTTTTGCTCGGTGTATTACACAAGAGATGCATATCTAAATACCTACAAAAAAACTGTCTTTCCTGTGGGTAATAAATCAGAATGGAATTTGACAGAAGATGTAAGTAATAGAGTTGTTTTTGCTCCAGACCAAAAGAGAAGTTCTGGACGGCCTACTGAGAAGAGAAAGAAGCCAGCATATGAAAGATCACAAGTTGTGAAATGTGGAAGATGCGGTGAATTCGGTCACAATCGTCGAATATGCAGGACCAGAATGACAAAAAACTGAAAATAAAGAAAGATCCAAAGAAATTCAAATAGTTTAGCATAATTTTTTTACATAATTATATTCTTTGTACTCGCAAATTATTTCATTTTATTTCCGAACGACGTATTTTTTGGATTATACGAGTTGACAGATTTATGCATTGAGCTTTCATTATATCTCATGATGTCACTTATTTCTGGAAAAGGGCTGTGTAAACAGACATTTATTGTGACTCTGTTTTTTATGATTGTGACCATCTGTGACCATTTCAAGTATAAAATAAGCTCTATGTTTTTTGTATAACTTGTGTGTTCAAACTAAATCTGAATGTCATCTTCCACTAGATAGGACCAATTCTATGCTTACTTCTTTTGTAAGAATCTCAATGAAAAATGTTAAGCATTTGTGACCATTTGTGACATGTTCGTATGTAACAAGTTAACCAAAACTATTCGTGACCATCCGTGACTTGCAGTTATATAAAAAAGTACTCATATGTGACCACTTGTGACATATTCAAGTCATGCAAATTAACCAACTGTTACTATTTGTGACGATCTGTGGCCTACGGTTATATAACAAATTACTCACATGTGACTATTTGTGACCTCTTTAGACTGTGCAATATTCTCACGTGACCTGTTCAGACCATGCAAATATAGACTTTTACATCCATAAAAAACTTAGATGATATAAATAAAATCATTTACATAAACACCAGTACTTTTACCTTGTACCAATTGACAAAAACAAAATCAAATTCAATTCTAAAACATATTACAAAGATAACATCTATCGACTACATCATAAAAATATCTGTTTATCTAATTTTGAATAGCTATCAATCTAGTCTATCATGAAAACAATGCCATCAATAGAAGTTCATTCATGTGACTTTGAACTTCCATTTCCAATCTGCTTCAATTGTTTGTTTTTGAACAGCAACGCTGCAATTTCAAGTTTGGCATTCCCGGCATCAAATGACATTGGCATATTGCCAAAATCATTGTGTAACAAATACTGTGCATACTTTATGACAAAAACCCCACAATCATGTCTGTAATATTTAAAGAAGACAAACCATAAGTAATTACTAAATGTTGATGGAAAATGATAAAACTTGCAATGCCCACAACGAAACTTACTCATTTTGTTGCCGAGGTAAACCACGGACAATGTTAACATGCAGTTCCCCAGATTTGTCACCAATACCATCACTAGTTTCTTTCCATAGCTCGACAAATTTTAACAGGTGTGTAAGAGTCTTCACAAGCGATAAAACCCCTTCGCGAACCTTGTTGTCTTTGTATGATTTGTTGCTTGAATTATATATGTAAAGGACATGGTTAGTAATATCAAGCTGCCCTAACATCCAATGAGCATGATTTGTGGGCATGATGGGCATCCACACAGAAACAACTTCTCTCCAAGCAGTATTAAATGATAACTGTTCACCATTGATGGTTTTGATTAGCTCATCATTCTTATCAACAATGATTGGGTCTTGAATAAATTTGGAGTATCCCGACTTGATTGACATATCAAATATGCAGTCTGTAGTGGTAGCTTTCATCTTCACACCTTTATCGAACTTGGCAAGTTGTCTTATGTAATGAAAGCATGTATCCAAGTGTTGTAGTAAGAAAGAATATACATAAGTAATACAAACTACTATGCATATATACAAAATGGTGAAAAAATTGTACCGTGTTGTTCAATGATGAATCAGAATCAATCAACGCATGTCACCAAGTTTTATAATGAACAGTGACAATGCCACATAAAACACTAAATATTTCATTAAACTGACATCTTTGGAATGAAGTTTAATAGACTCCAACACGCGTGCAATAGCTTCATCAACCTGATCCTGCACTTCTTTACTAGCAAAAAATGAATCATCAGAGCTTTTAGGTGTTTGTGAGGAGCCAACTCCTAGATCAAATCAAGGAGATTCAAGGACATAGTCATCATGAACATGTAAAAACTCAGGTGCCATGTGACCCTTGTCCACTTTTTCAGCCACGTCATCACCTTTTTGCTCGGGTTCTATGTGAACATTGTCACTTTTTTCAGCAACATCATCACCTTTTGGCTCAGGTTCCATGTGACCCTTGCCCTTTTTGTCAACGTCATCATCATCTTTCGGCACTTGTTCCATCAAAATATCTTTACCACTCAACTTCTTATGAAATTCATCCATCACCGAAGATAAAATGTCAGATACAGATTCAACAAAATTTTTAAGAGACAACCTGATGTCACTCAAGCTATCTTTCAACACATTGTGGCTTTGAATGACCTCATTGAGCTTCAAAGAATTGTTTGATTAACGCATGTTTACATTCATCTTAGATAGTTCTAACTTCATCGACATAAGCTCCTCTTTCAACCCCTTGTTCTCCGCTTGGAGCTTGCTTATTTCCTTATTAATCAACTGTTTTAGTCGACCACATTCCTCATAAATTTTGTAGTTAGTGGAATTGTATATAATGTGTTCTTAAGTGAATATACAATGAAATTACTTCCTTCAACATAAGAGCAATCTAGATGGTAGGCAACACTACGCTGATCGCGAGACCTAGAACTAGCAGCCTCCATTTGTTTATATAGTGGTGGGTCTACAAAATCATTATCTGAATCTTCAACGTGTACCTTCGACAACAGGGGAGTTGCCTCACTTGTGCCCGCATGATTTTTAGAGATCCTAATGTTATGAGTTGGTCGTCTAGGCTTTGAGTACTGCACATCTACCGATCATACACAACATACATAAGAATGAATAAAGTCACAAGGCACAAGGCACAAGTCACATGTTTCACGTCACAGGCATAAGAGATAAGTGACTTTACAAACAACATATTCATACTTCAGCTCACAATCGTGTGAAGAAAGTCACAAATCACACGTTTCAGATCACATTCACAAGTCACATAAAAACAAAGAAAGTTACAAGGCACAAGCCACAACATACATAAGGACAAAGAAAGTCACAAGTCACATGTTTCAGGTTACAGTCATAAAAGATATGTCACTTTTCAAACAAGATATTCATACTTCAGGTCACAATCGTATGAAGAAAGTCACAAATCACACATTTCAAATAACATTCACAAGTCATATAAGAGCAAAGAAAGCTACAAGGCACAAGCCACAACATACATAAGGACAAAGAAAGTCACAAGTTACATGTTTCAGGTCACAGTCATAAAAGATAAGTCACTTTACAAACAGGATATTCATACTCTAGGTCACAAATTATATTTCGTATCATAATATATGTGAATTTCATATTTAGAACCTGTCATATATGACATTGTGAGCTCAACTTCAGATGGATCGATGTCATTTATCACAACCTGTTTCACATAAGATGAAAAAATATTGTGCATAAGTCATTTCAAAATTTATATAATTAACCAAATGATTACATAACAATATAGATGTATTTAAAACCTTACATTCTCACTTTCAAACACTTTGTCCTCCAACATTGCCGCTAAAGGATGTTTGTGCGCAGTCCAATTAATAATGCGTGGATATTTCTTACAAATTCTTGTGGCCACATTCCCCTCAAGTACAGGTTTGCACTCATACAGCCACACCTGAAAAGCCACTAAAAAACTTGTCAATCTGTAGTGACTAGTTTGTTTTGATAGTCCCTTTTTTAGTCACGATAAGGTGGTCTCAAACAAATACCTACCTGAAGGAAATGTCTCAAGAGTGGCAAAATTGTCTACAAGTGCAAATATGTATTGATCCACCACCTTCGGGTAGGATGTAGCAAATAAATATGAGGTGATGAGATAGATAATTCCTATCTTAACAACGTCAAGGTCTGGTGCATCATCCAGTGAAATAAAAACCCTCTTGACATCTTCACTTGTAACAACTTTTAAGTCCTTAAAATACGTGTCCTTCACTAAAGAAAATTCAGCCCTATCATACCTCAATCCCGTAACCAAACAAAATTCAGCAATTGAAAAACGAATATATCTCCCATTTAGGTTAAACCACATCTCTTGCTTATTCGGTTGCTTGACCTCCCGTAGTAAAATTTGGTGAATCAATTGTGACTGCACAACTATCTCCCTACAATGCATGTAATAGGAGAAACATGTGTTTTCTAGAATTTCTCTTTGGGCATCATTAAATTTCATCACAAAGTGCGTAATAACACTCTATATTAGTGTTGTGGTGATCTTCCCAGAATACCAATTCCTTGATTTTATTAAATATTTCTAGTCCTGCACAATCGTAATATAAAAAATGTTACTGTGACCTTCAACACACAAACATTTCGCTGTGACCAACTCATATATATTCAGATCATAAATAATTGGTCACAAATTTTCAAAATCATAACACAAAGAAGTAAAAAATCACAACACGTATTTCATTCTAAAAAAATCCAGCACTCCTTAGAAAACACATTCGATTGAAATAAATAATAATTGATCACACAATACATGAAATAAGTCACAAACCCTTCAAATTACAAAATACCTAAAATATGTCACAAAATGATATTTCCTACACAAAATACCCACATCAGGTCACAACTACTCAAATAGAAGGTCACAAATTTCAGAAAGTAGGTCACAAAATCGGAGTTCACCTTTTTCATGGGTTTCCCGCCAGATCATAAATAGTTGGTCACAAATTTTCCAAAATCATAACACAAAGAAGTAGAAAGTCACGATCACGCAATACATAAAATAAGTCACAAGACCTTCAAATTATAAAATACCTTAAACAGGTCACAAAATGATATTTCCTACGTAGAATACCCAAATCAGGTCACAAACTACTAAAATAATAGGTCACAAAATCGGAGTTCACCTTCTTCATGGGTTTCCAGCCAGAGGATGACATTTTAACTCTCTTTGCTGAAGAAGAGTCTCCTTCAACATATTTCCTCTTTCCTTTATCCTTCTGTATCACTTTCGCACCAACATTACGAGTTTTTGCCACTCCAAACACAACTATGGTTGAAACTAAAATTTAATAAACGATGATCT